TACTGAGACAGTCAGCGAGTCCTGGAGCTACCGCCGAGTTAGCCAGCAACTAGTCAGTTGTATTGTGGCATTTTTCAGTGTACTAATTGTGATACTGCAGATAGCAGTAATCGTCAGATTGTAATTTGGGTGACTGTGAGAGCGGATGTGAAATAAAATTCGCTACATCAAATACGTCCAGAATTTATTTGTCGCGTTATACGCCCGATACGCGACAATATCAACACTGAAACAAAATACTTTTTTTTATAGATATTAATTGTGACTTCCCAATTCCTACACTTCTGTTTAAGGCTCTTGCAAAGCTCAGGGCCTTCTCCTGAGCCTACTGAATAATATGTAACACATTTATACTGCTCCCTAAACACGAACATTGAGAAACTGAAGCAGTATCATCCACATGCAAAATGGTGAAGGAAACATACCATCAGGTTGCTTTTCTGGACTAACAGTACAGTCCAGGAAGGAACCACTGATGCTCAGCAGGCCTGCGTCACTGACAGATGACCGCCTCTTGTGCAGTGCTGGTGATTCGTTTTGTATTAGTCTACACATTGCTTCACGTAACCGCTTCCTCTTCCGAGCTCGTGTTGAGGAAGAGGCATTAGGAGTCTGAGAACCGCAACGTCCATTTGGACTAAGCATTGTCTCAAGGTACTGTGGACAGAAAACACAAAAAGCTGAAGATGACTTTACCTTACTTACTTACTTATGGAGCTGAGCCCTTCTTGAGGAGCGGCCATTTCTGCAGCTACTCAAGAATTTCACAGCATTTTATGGAACCTGAAGGTTCATTACCATGTTCACAAGAGCCCCCCACTGGGCCCTATCCTGAGCCAGATCAATCCAATCCATCCCATTCTATCTCTCTAAGATCAATTTTAATATTGTCCATCCACCTACGCCTTTGTCTTCCCAGTGGTCTCCTTCCTTCTGGCTTTCCCACCAATATCCTACATGCATTCCCTTTCTCCCCCATTCATGCTACATGCCCTGCCCACCTCATCCTCCTTGACTTGAACATTCTAATTATACACCGTCAGTCTATGTTCCTCCCTAAAAGTCAGAGACCAAGTTTCACACCCATACAGAACCACCAGCAAAATTATAGTTTTGTATATTCTAATTTTTATGTTTTTGGACAGCAGACGAGAAGACAAAAGGTTCTTGACTGAATGTTAGCAAGCATTACATGAGTCCAATCTCCTCTTAATTTTCTCCTCAATCAGGTTTTGATTTGTTATCATCGTTCCCAAATATCTGAACTGTGCCACGCTTTTAAAACATCTGTTTCCTATTGTTATGTCATTATTTTGCCCTGCATTTTGGTGACAAGACAGCAACATATACTTAGTTTTCTGTGTTTACTTTCGCAACTTATCATTTGTCTCAGTTTTCTATCACTACATGTTTTGGCCATACATGGCCATCATCAGCTGCTGCCTTTATCTTGTCAGCAGACAATGAAACGATTCTGGCAAGAAGGCACCTAACACAGCCTTAAGTCTGACAGATCTGGGACGTAACGAGAGAGAGGGGGGAAGTCCTGATAAGATGCTAAAAACTATAAGAATACTGAAGGTAGGTACAGAATTGGCTGCCAACATTTGAACAAATCATCATTTTCATACAGACATATTTAATTAGTGTGCACTGTGCATGCAGCCAATGACAGGTAACCATAATTTTCCTATGCTTCCAGATTTCATGTACACTCTACACTAGTTTCATGATATCTAAAGTGTTTCCACAACATTCTTTGTCTAAAACANAAAAAACCTTAAAAAAAAAAAAAAGTCTTGCATGTTCAATGAGACTTCTGGTTTGGCTATTTCAGTTCCTGCCATATGTGAATAACAGAATTAGTAACTTTCCAAGAATGATGTAATGATTTACTTCACTATGGGATGATGAAGTACTCTCAAAGATGTTTCAACATTTCAGGCGCACAATAATGAACAAAGTGGCTTACATCTTCAAAGAGATATTCCTTCTCATCTGCACAACCTTCATTTTGAACTGATACCCAAAACCACTCGGCTTTTACGATAGGAGCCCGGAGAGGAGCCTTCTCGGGAATATTCTGCACAGCTGACTCATCTACCACCTGAAATCATCAAAATGTTACTACCATAATTATGAAAATCATAACATGATATTACAATTCTGTAACCAAACAGATTCACAAAATGTGAATTCAATTATGCAAGTTACTTATTTCTCATATCTTCCCTTCCCCAAATGTCACAAAAAAATACACACGTACACTGAATCGTGAACGTGTACAAAAATTTAAACCCATAAAGCAGCAATCTGAAACAAGTATATTAACTTATCCACATGCTACATCTCAGTACCGAAGTGAAAGCACTGGTTCTACTTCCACTCCTCCAGCAGGATAATATACATCATGCAAATTAAAAGACAGGGCAACAGAGCTCTGAACACCTTAACCTCCTCATCTTACCACATGTGTGCAGGTGGGGTCTTCCAGTTCTGTAGCTGTTCCTCCATTCTCCTGCAACACCTCCGTCATGTGCTGCCTTTCGTCATCTGGGAAACCACAGAAACACACACGTGCACCATGGAACGGCTTCAGCTTGTAACACATCTGCATAACAGAAATAAACTTATTACACTTCAAGAAAGCATCGATTATTCAATGTATGTAACTCAGCAACTACCGTACTCACGCATATACCGTGCACTTTGTTCTCCAGGTTAGCATTAACACACAGGGTGTGCATCTTACAACAGGTTTCTCATTTTTTAACACACAGCTTGATATTAAAGTATGGATAATGGATTTAACGATATAATTTAATGTATGTAGTAATGCACATCCTAACCCTGTTTTGGTTGCATACCACTTCTGGTAGTAGAGAGGAATCTGACTTGTGCAATCAGCTGAGAAAGCTTGTCTGTAATATACTTGTTACTGTACATGCACAGTGACGGGCAAGAGGTTCAGACTGCTTACTGCAGATGAGGCACTACTGGGTCCCTATTTTGCATATCATTTAAATCCCACCCGTCCCACCCTTCTGTAGTTACTTTCTCACGACTATTATCACATGATGCCACCTTTTACCTACTGAAGCTAACATTTTGCAGCCTTTTCCAACACTATGACAGATAATAATACTTCTATAGTATGTATGATCATAGACAGAGGAGCATCATAATGCTCAATGTCACCAATGTACACAAACCTGTGATTCCCACTCATAGTTCCAGATAGAGTATGAGGTAGTTCAGATAACTCAAAATTAAAGCCAATGTGAAAGCGAAAAGGTAAAGTTGCCCCTGTGCATAATTAATTAAGCACCACACTGTGAAGAGGTGTAGGGGAGTGGAGGTATAGATCCACCATTCCTGACCTCAGCACTGAATGGAGGTGAGTGGCTAGCTTCACGCCCGATTGCTTTAACCCTGGGGAAAGAGCCCCCAGCACTCAATGGATAGGGGACTGGGTAGGCCCCAGAGCCAGTCTGAATGCTGTGAAGAAGAGAAAAATCTCACATCCCCTTCAAGGAATCAAACACCACCCATCCAGCCCATAGTCTGTCACTATATCAACTGAGATATCCCACGTCACAAATACTTGCTGGCTCCCTAGAGCCACCATACACTTCATCTGTATGTAAACTTTCATGTATGTCCTCTCAAAGCTGACAGATTGCACATAGTCCACAATGATGGTGTGGTCCATTGCTTCTATCAGAAGCTGCAACAATGAATCATATTTACTGTACAGTTTTCCCTGTTTCCCTCTTCCCTGAAGAGATTGTTGTTAAACAATGGCACAGCTGGCAGAGAAGGCTTACAGCATACTGCTGGATCTGTATCAACAAGAAACCACCAAGCTGGATGGCATAGCAATAACAATCTAGACTTCTATTCTGGAGATTTTCAGTTCAAATGTCAATCAGGACTCCAGTTATACTGAGGACAACTACAGTTTTCCTTAGTTTCAGGTCCGTACACACTTTATCACAATTTTTACTGCATATTCTTCTATTACCTCCCTTAGACAAAGCCTGGTCTTAGGTATTTACATAGCTGCAGTTATAATGACAATGCCAGCCACAATGGCCGCATAGTCTAAGGCATGAACCATCTTTGCCCACTCAAACAGTGGGGTCATGGGTTTGTATCTCACTCAAGGCATGGATATCTGTGTGCATTTATTCTGTGTTTGTGTTGTTCTGTGTGTAGGCAAGAGCCTTGTGTTTGGCTGATCCCCTGTCCAAGAGTTCTGCCAACTGTGTATAGGATTAAGAAACCGAAAAAGTGGCCAAAGTCCAAAATGCTGTACAGTCACAGAGAGAGAGAGAGTTATTCTAGCATTGGTTATCCAGTGATTGAGGTCAGCTCCTTCGAAGGGACCCAACACAGTATGTCTCCTACCTCACCTGAGCAGAGAAAGATATCCAGTTTCCAAAATGTCATGTTCTCTAGCTTTTTAGAATATCTGACGATGGACAAAGACCAAAAACCCAGCAATTCTGAATGTTATACACCACTGTCAGAACCCTTCAGAATCTACTTGTTTGTGGAAGGTCTCCAGACTTCTTAATGGGCTCTAAGAATCAAAACAGAGCCATCTAGTTTTGCTTTAATACTGTGTATATGCAGGCACAAGCTATCATCCACCATAACCACCCCTCAGTTCCATAAATAATTACTTCAGCATTAGCAAGGAATAAAGAAGTATTCCTTGAGGAGTTCTGGACTGTGAAACTAAAGAGCTTTTCAACTATTTATACAGAGCAATGTCAAGACAATAAGGGATATTGCTGTGATACAAACCATCTCTTCACTTGCAGCTGAAATAGTTATTTCGTTTCGTTTCTCCCACATGGCATGCACCCATTTTTCGCCCATCACAGGCACACGGAATGTCACAGCATATTGGTACTTGTCCCCTCCACAGGCATTGGCTATAAGATGGGTAACTTTTGACACCATATCACGCCGTATGCTGCCACCCATGTTATGGATCAATGTGATCATCTGGTTCTGAAACAGTTTATGTGCTGCGTCAACAATAGCAACATTTGCTACACATAACAATTTCTACTGGAGAAAACTACAGATATTCAATGGGGACTCATTTCTTTTGTATCTTCATACTTTACCCCTTTTCTTCCTCTCCCTGATCCCCTTTATACTTTTATCTCATTCCACCCTTTCTTTGTTAAAACTGAGCCGTGCTAAGCCTTAGCCCGCTCACGATGAGGTCATCATCCTTCCTGTGACGGATTCCATCCCCACCATGCGGTACCCTGACGTCAGTCACGTGGTCCCATGTACCCTCTTGTGAAGGGGAGACTTGTACAGTGCAGTCTCTTAGACCAAGTCGACTTGGAAGGTTGTTTACTAGCCAGCAGGTTTGTGGTGGAAAATATTGGTTTCGGCTGGGGCTGCTCTAAATTCCCTTTGGTGTTATCTGCTGGCCGGTAAGGACTGCCGGCGGTCGCAAGTCGTTGCATGAACGCTTGCGACGCGCGTATTAAATTTTGGTTTGGGGTTTTATTTTGTCTCAGAATTTAGACTTGCATCTGTATGGCCTGATATTTCTAGCATCGANTAATACAAATAATAGTAGAAAAGCAGAGAGGAAGACGAAGGGCGCGGTGCAAAAAAGTGACTTACAGCAAAATTATGAATCTGTGAAACTACACTTCCATAGGAGCAGCATGAAAATAACATAATACACATTATATTCTAACTACTTATCCATAAATTACATTTATTATGTACACTAATGAACAAACCTCTGCTGCTGTAAAAACCTCAAATTGTATATAAATTAGCTAACTTGTAAACTGACACAAAATTAATTTAACTTTTCATCCATATAACATCTACCACATAATTTGTAACAAATGTAATTTACATGCATGTATTATGCCCAATAAAAAACCAACATGATATAGCTAAGCTGACCTAATTTATCATAAAATTTGTATGTGCTGGAAGAATATGAAAGTAAATGTAAATATGAGCAAAAGTATTTACTATAACTTGAAGACATATGTTGATAAATAGTGTACGTGCAACAAAATTTTTTGTCAGCAAATAAGACATACATACATAACACTGTAATAAATAAGAACATATTGTAATGGATGGGATGGAATGAAGCCAAAATTACTAACAAATGGGAATCTTACAAGGTGAGTACAGGTACCAACCTGCTCATGTTCTTTCAAACAGAAATACTATCTTACCTCACACAATTCTGCACAATGTTGTCCCACCTTAAATAAAAGAGCTTTTGAGACTGAGAGTTAGGGTCAAGATTTTTCATTCTGTTTCTCTGGCTACTATATAAATCATAAGTTAGCAATAGCCACTCATTAGACCAACAAAAAACACTCTTCATAACTTTGTAATGATAACTGCAGCAAGTATGAACACATATATCTCAGTTGATCTGATGGATGTTGACGTTCCTGTTAAAAAATCATCAAGTCTTCATATTTTCTGAAAATTTAAACCACTAAAATATTCAGCACGTAAAACGTACATATGAACTCAATATCTTCAACAACAGATGTGGGAAAACATTTTCATTCAAGGGCCTAATAAAAAGTTACACTGCATTTCTGGGCCAGAAATAGGTGATATTATGGCACTGTGGAAATTATCATTACCATCATCATCACTACTACCACTACCACAACCACTGCCACTACTAGCATCACCTAGCCATCACACCACTTCCTCACCCCTTGCAGCCTCAATTTACAATGCAGAAATAAATATTTTAAGTACCTTCAAAATCACCAAAAATGGAAAACTGTGCACAGTATGATTCATTATACATACTACATATATACATACAGACACACACACAACCAAATAAAAAAAAATTGGAGTCAAAGAAATATTAAGTACATAGGCTCTTATATAAAATTCCCAAAATATAATTGCAGACTCTTAAATAACTATATAAAGAATGAAAGAACACTACCCGGACCTCCAAGGAAGGCAATTTATCCCAATCTCCCGTTGATAGAAAAGGCACGAAGACATGAACCTTAGTGGTTTAAGATTTTAAATATTTCACCTCACCATATTTTACCATAATTAAAATATCTATATAAAACTTTGAACAACTTTGAACTTGATGTGCTATGATTTATGTAACAGTAGTTTCCTCAACATGTTATTTGTCTTCTAAAGATGGTCATTAATTTCTGAAACATGTCAAGGCACCATATATACAAGGTGGTTCAAATATGACCGGGACTGATTTGTGTGTAAACAAGCCGCACGGTGCAACCTTGAGAGAGTGAAGCCACAACCTCCACCCTCCCTCCTGTTCAGGTTAGAACATGTTCAGTCCTGTCTGGGAGTTGCTAGAGTGATGAGCGAACAGAAGGTACCGCGGAGCATGGAACAACGCATTGTGATCAAATTCCTCGTTGGAAAAAACGTCCAGTCCGCTGAAATTCACCACAGACTCCAAAAGCAGTATGGGGAAAAGTGTCTCTCATGGACCCGTGTGTTTGAGTGGTGTAAGTGCTTCAGAGAGGGCAGAGAGCGCATGGATAATGAACCGCATGATTGTCAGCCGCAAACACCCGTCACCGAGCCAAACACTGATTGTGCAGATGCGCTTATTCGTGAGAATAGGCGCATCACTATCAAGGAACTTGGAGCAATGCTGTCCATCAGTGTTGGTAGTGTAGAATACATCGTGAAATACCACCTGCACTATCGCAAGGTGAATGCACAGTGGATACCATGCACTTTGACAGACGCTGTCATCCAGACTGTTCAGGAGTGGATACGCCGCCAACCACAAGCCTTTTTTGAAAAGGGCATCAGGATGCTTGCAGAACGTTGGAAAAAATGTGTTGACTCCAGAGGGGAGTATGTTGAAGACTGACATGTGCAAGTAAGTGTTTGGCAATTATGGTTTAAAAAAAAATTAGTCCCAGTCATATTTGAACCACCTTGTGTGGATATATATATATACACACACACATTTAAGTCACATTGGACAGTGTGGTCAAATCATTCTATAGTACTGACTAGCGTGACAGACCAGGATGAATAAAGTTAAGCTATATGCATCAGTTCAATCTCATGCACAACTGAGGTCATGTTCAAACAACAGAACTTACCAGTTCATCTTTCTTCCTAAAGCCCGTGAAGCAGATTACCAGACCAGACATGGCTAGACTGTACAATGGCCGACTGTTGCTTGGCAGTCCCTCCCCCTTATCTGCATACTGCTGAAGGGCTGTAGGACCCAGGATTCTGGCAATATAAACAAAGAAAAATTTAGTATCCAATAAAATATGTCCATGCTGCACACTTCACTGAAAATTAAACAGTTGAACAAATCTTTATTGTTTGCATCCTGTTGCATATTAACTTTACAGACTGCATCCTGTCGTGTATATAATACTTATCTTATGTTACATCTGTCAACACAACAAATAGAACAGGAATACCTTCAATGAAGACAACAGATGTTGGTATATATCTTACTTATTTAATGTAAGCATAAATTGCACTGAACCTTCTTAAGACAATTCAAAGGGTTCGCCCCGTGGAGGACGTCGTAGGCCCGCTGTCCAGCAGAGGCAATGTTCCTATTTTTCCGGTTAAGGTCTCTGCATGACGTTTAGTCATGTGAGGTCCCCCCCTCTTCCCCTTTCCTTTTTTTCAGTCTTCTGTAAACTAGACGAGCAATTGTCCTCTTTCCCTGGGTGGCTGTTGGGCAGGGCGGTTGTCTCTGCTCTTAGAAATTCATGTTTGAATTTTCTGTGTGTGTCTAAATTTTCTGTTTCGATAGTCAGCACTATTTGTCGCGGAAAAGGGCCCCTTTGCCGAGCCATGGAGAAATGGCGAAGCAAAGTAGTTTAAATATATATATCTAGATATATATTCGAAATCTGTGAGTATTGTTATGATTATTATTATTTTTTTCTTTCTAGTGAGCAAAATGGGCGGTGGCCCTGATAATGGCATTGACCTGGATGGCCAGAGTAGGTCATGGTCTGTTTGTTACGTATTTCTTAATATTCCCACTTGATATTTCTTTGTTCAGTTACCCATTTTTATATATATTTTTGTCATTGTTGAATGTATAAGTTTTACGTTGTTACATTACAGTCATTGTAAAACCCAGTACGCCGTGTGGCTGTTTATTTGACTGTGTACTCACAACCTGCCTCAAGCAGTTAATGAGTGTGTATCCCCCGAACAACAGGTAAATGAACTTCCCCCTCCCCTCTCCTGAAATCCGGGCTGGTTACAGTCCGGGTATGAAACGGTTCAGCACTACATGTTTTGACCTATTCTTCAGGTCATCATCAGGCATGTCTTTTATGATCTATATCTCAAGTGATTAAAATTAATAATAATGATATGAGTCCACACTTATGCAACAGATGTTTGCTGTTGCAAGTTATGCAAACCATTCTGACTACTGAATTCACAACCTACTTATCATTACAAGCCCTAACCACAAGCATTATCATGTAATCACAGTCTGGTCAGCCAGTTCTAATAACAAGACAATCAATGTGACACAGTCCATCCATTAACAACAAGGAGGAACATCTTCTATGTTAAACCACAGGAATTTTCAACTGATGAACTCTAAGCAGCTGCAAACACACAGCAGTCCCTCACCTAAAGATCAGCCAAGCCACACTTTCTAAACTCTACTGAATGATTTGTTCTTTCAAGAATAATGAAACAAGGATTAATAACTGATAAGTAGTAATAAATTCATCCTTTCTATCCTTTTCAGCCACAGTTACTATCTTCTATGTTTGCTTAAGTAACATGAACTTATTAAAAAATAACTACATATTACAACCTATCAACAAAGTATATAATATACAAACCTTTGTTCTGAACGATGGATGGCATCATACACAGGGCCACTGAATTCTTCCAAAACAAAAACAGTATCCCATGAGCCATCATTTAGAAATTCTGCTCCTGTTTCTGATGATACGACAGGCACACCGAAAGCCTTAAAGGAAATTGAGAAAAAAAAATTAAATTAATAATTTTACAAGTATATTAGCAGAGATAGAGCAGTTGGTATAGCAACTGGCTACAGGCTGGACAGCCAAGAGGGCAGAATTTGAGTCAATTTGGGTCCTGGTAGGACCATGATTTTTCTCCTCTTCATGTCATTCAGACTGGCTCTGGGGCCCAACCAGTCTCCCATCCAGTGGGTACTGTGGGGCTCTTTCCCCAGGGGTTAAGCAGCTGGGACATGATGTCAAGCACTCACTTTCAGCTACTGTCAAGGTCTAGAATACATTCCCACTCCCCCATACACCTTCATGATATAGTGCTTAATTAGTTAAGCACAGGGACAGCTTTGCCTTACTAATGGGATACAGGGCATTCAGTGCAGGATGCTGGTTTTGGTGCAGAACTGAGCAGCAAATTCAGCATTCTGGCTTCACATGAACCTTCATAAGTTGGTGAGTTGAAAGTAGGGGTGGAGTGAAATTCGAGAGAGGAGTACCAGTAACACAAGTATGAGGAGTAGGAAGACTGTTCTTGTGGGTGGCAGCAGTGATAGAGGGCTGGGTCAATGGTTCCTGTCAACCCCACGGAATGTCTACTCCGTTGACTGTGGATGTTTGAGAACAGGGAGTTGTTAATCTTTGGACTGAAGAGGGGTGAAGTGACAGGAGGATGGAGAAAACTGCATAACGAGGAACTTCATAACTCCCACTATTAACCAAGTATTACTAGAATGATCAGATCAAGGAGGATGAGATGGGCAGGGCACACAGCATGAACTGGGGAGAAGTGGAATGCATATAGGATATTGGTGGGAAATCCAGAAGGAAAGAGACCACTGGAAAGACCAAGACATAGGTAGGTGGACAAGATTAAAATGGATCTTAGAGAGATAGGATGGGATGGTATGATTGGATTGATCTGGCTCAGGATATGGACCAGTGGATGGCTCTTGTGAACGCAGTAATGAACCTTCGGGCTCCATAAAATGATGGGAAATTCTTGGGTACCTGCACAATTGGCAGCTTCTCAAGAAGGGCTCAGCTCCATGAGTATTTTATATGCAGGTAATACAGTCAACACTGTTCTAATCCACTGTGACAGGTTCTACAGCCTTGACTTTGTACTATGATGGGCCTACGGAAAGTTAAATAAATTCCATTTTATTCCCACAAAGATACTGAGAAGTAATGTTGAGTTGAACATTGATTAACAATCTCATACACATACTTTACTTGTATGGAAGTAAACCATTTACCTGTGCTGCTTCGGAAATTCTTGAATCACTAGCAGGCACTCCAACAAGACAAATTCGAGACCGAACTGCTTCCAAATGTGGTGAACCTGAAAGAATTTAGCGTCTGTTGACAAACCCCCAACACTAACCTAACCTTAATTACACACTTCGTATAATTTGAAATAGGTAGTTCCTGAAATGAATAACATTATAATAAACACGAATAAAGCAAACACAACACTTACACACACTATCATCAGGTCCTGTATTAATGTTGCCAATACTTGTCATTTGCGACTCGGCGAGACAAACGTTCGTCTCGTCCATCTTGATTGGTTACAACATTGAATTCTTTACGATACTCTTAAAACAATTTCGTGTAACTCACTTCAAATCATTTTAAATGTCTAAAAAATTGTTCGCACGATATTTTTATCATTAACTTTAGTCATTTTTCGCCATGACGTAATTCATTTGCTATTTTTTCTTAAAAGCATTGCCGTTCGAACTTCACTAGCACTCAATTCAAACATTTTAGCGTCGTTGATTGGTTGAACAGCTGCACGTGACAATGACATCACCACATTACAAATGGACACACACCCCCGCAAGTCAGTCATAACCTTGATAAAATACAAACTTTTAGATACAATGCCACAACATATTGTGTGGTACTAGGGCCGCTGAATATGTGGTGGCCCCAAAATATATGACACTGCCACACTAACGCGGGCGAAAGCCCAACTTTATAGAGAAAAATGTGTCCTGAAAGGTGCCCCATAACCAAAGGAGTATACTGATAATTCCGTCCTCAACGATTCCCAAATAGAGAGTGTATTGAATTCGCATGAGTATACGTAATTTGGTGGAAAAGGATAATACAGTTCCTGTGCCACCTAAATATCTGCATAGTGTCCTAAAAGATTCTAATTGTCTAACAAACGTTCCTTGATCTAACTCTGGAGAAAAGTGCAACAGTGGATGCTAAAAACATTTCCCATTATTAACCTGTTTTCTGCTGTCGTTGTTTTCTTCATTCAGTTCAGAAATAAAGCCCATGGCATTGTCATTTCCACTAACAATTCTGATCTGATGGATTTTCATTAAACACAGCATGAAAGCCATGGTAATCAAGGCCACCACAGTTCTGAACCTATAATTCTAATCACCATTCAGTGAGTACACACCCAGCTGAAGTACAGAGTGGGATGTGATGATGGTGAGAACCATCTACCAAATATTTTACTTATATGGTTTGGAACTCTATACAGCATAGTCCTTATTGAGAAGCTGATAGTCACTCAGCAAGTGAATAAATTCCTTCTGACTTATATGGAACCCAAATGCTTCTTACTCTGTCACAAGAGATCATCACTGAACCCGGTCCTAAGCCAGATGAATCCAGTACACATCCCTAGACTCTGACCCCAGGTGGTCTCTTTTATGCAGGTTTTCCAGCTACAGTTGTGAACGAATCTCTCTGCTCTCATGTGTGCTATATGTCCTGCCAATCTCATGAGCCTGATTTCTTGACCATAATAATATTTGGTAAGTAAAGCTATCCCTGTAACAGGCCATGAAGGCCCATAGGGTTGTGAGACGTTGAGGGTCCCACATTATCTAGACAATCAGCTCAAAGATGGCGGTAAGGTTGTCAGCCTAGTACAAATTATGAGCATCTTCATGCCATTTTCTGCAGCTTCCTGTTCTTTCCAAAAAAAAAGCAAATATTTCTCTCAACACACTGCTGTCACTCTCAGCATTATGCTCTTCCTTCAGGATGAGACAGCAGGTGTCACATTTACCTACAACAGGTAAAATCTCATCTCAAGGGAATAATTAGAATTGAGAAAGTTGCCTATCTCCAAACAATATGGGAAGGAAAATAAAAATATAGTGCCAATATAAGTGCATTTCATATCTAATTCTTCAAAATTTGATGTGATTTGGGAAATGTATTAGCTCTTTGAAGTGCCACCTAAAATACATAATCAGCAATTCTGCACTTATATTTCAGGAATTCAGTACTGTCCTACCTCAGATAGCAGCTTCTTACTCAAGACCACATTGTCTTATACAATAATTCTCCCAAAACTAGCTACCCAGGTCCAGGACATTTCTTTATACGCAAGCCCATAATGAACATTCCAGAACCTGATCTGTCAGTAAGCAATGTTTTCAGCTGTGTTGTATCTCAGGCAGCTACTTGACAGCATCCAACAGCCCATGTTAATTCAAGGTCAGTCATGATCTTTGGTCGAAAAAGTGGAAATGGAGCAGGTTTTCTTCAAGTACTTCGGCTTCCCTTGCTGATTCTCAATTCCACCAAATGCTCCATACTCATCTGTCATCTGGGGCTGGTACAATAGGCCCATTAATGGCTGAGGCACCAAGAGCACTGTCTCATCCCACCTCACAAAATAAAACAGAAAAAAGTAATCTTTCCAGATGGTAACAGATATAACATCTATATCAGCAGCTGAGTGTTAATGCTTCAGCATTTGAACACTAATATACACAAAAAGAATATTAAAATTAAATCCACAAAAGTGCTCCTGTTCAAAAATTGCTTAGTGAATTTTCTAATAATAGTTTTTCAGTTTTCTTTTGATTTATGAGAAGCCTTTTCAGTGGCAGATATTCCGCTGTGGAAACTAACCAATCCTAGTCTGAGAAACTTCATAGAGAAGTATACACAGTGCAAAGTGCCAGATGAATCTACTGTGCACAAAAATTACATGAAACAGTGTTATGATCTTACAATTGAAAGCATTAGAGATAAGATTCAAGATAATTTTGTGTTGGTATCAATCGAAGAAACACAAGAATTTGAGGGACAGTTTATTGCAAATTGTATTGATGGATCCCTCAATAAGAATGAACAATATACCCCATATCTTCTTGTGGTAGAGCAGTTTGAAACCACAAATAGCTCCGCAGTTTCCGAATTTTTTATCAGTTCCATGAATTTACTATGGCCGAATGGCATTCAGTATGAGCGTGTATTGCTCTTTGTGGCTGATGCCACAAGTTATATGATGAAAGCTGGTACTGCTCTTAAAGTTATAGTTCCAAATATGACACATTTGACTTGCCTTGCCCATGATGTTGCAGAAACAATTCACGCAAATTTTCCGCTTGTCGACAAGTTGGTGTCTTCTGTGAAGAAGGTATTTGTTAAAGCGCCATACAGAAAAGAAGCCTTTAAAGCAGTAGCACCGAGCGTTCCACTTCTGCCAGAACCAATTTTAATGCACTGGGGCAAGTGGCTGTGTGCAGCGAGTTATTATACCGAACATTTAGAAACAGTTAGGAATGTCATGAATACATTTGATCCCAAAAGTGCAGCATCAATTCAAATTGCCCAAGATGTACTAAAAAATGCAGAACTAGAAACTAATCTTTCCTATATATCTGCTCACTTCTCTCATCTTCCATCCACCATTTCCTCACTGGAGGCAAGCAACAGCAATACTACTTTGTATCAGTCGTTAAGTGTGTTCAAAACCACTGTTTCCAAATTCGGTTCCTGGAAGAGTTGAAGTAGTAAAGGAAAAAGTACACAGCATTCTTTCAAAGAATCCAGGATATTAACAAATTTGTGAAATTGAAGAAATTTTAGCCGGCAAACGTACTGAACTGCCAAGTAAAAAATCACTAACAGTGAAGCAAATATCTACTTTTGTACACGCGCCCCTAAGTTCCTGTGAGGTGGAAAGAAGTTTTTCCCGCTATAAGGACATCTTACGAGACAACAGAAGGCGAATAATTGTGGAAAACCTAAAACATTTAGTAATTGTGAACTGCAACAGAAGAGAAGTTGAAAGTTCGGAGAGCTAAATGTCAGTACCATTGGTTTTTTAAATTTGTAATGAAATATGTTGGCTTTGTTGCATGATTTGTATTTAAGTATAGCTTTTTATTGCAAGTGAATCACTCAGTGATTACAAAAAATAAACTTAAATATTGATTTGTTGGTCTCAAAATAATGTAAAATCAATTTTAATATTTGGTATAAATTTTTATGTGCATACTTAGTGCATATTTCAGAAGTTTTTCATGCATAAATGCATTATTAGGGCATGAAAATCCAGTCCCTAGTTATCACACAAGCTCTATGGTGACAGGTATGTTTCACATTTAAAAATCTGACCTGATCACCCTTATCAGAAAATTTGGAAATACAAGCTCCAGGCCTCCAATAAGCTTCGTAATTTGTGAGAAAATCCAATTAACATTTTGGCCCATTGCTTCTACAGGAGTGTACTGTTCTTGGAATTTTCCAATATTACATAGAGCACTGATGATTATAAGAATTAAGAATTCATTTTCTCTCATATCACATCATTAAATTCAACAAATCTTATTAGTAACTGCAGTGAGAACCTCAAATCTCACAATTTTTAATGTTTACACGTGCCATTGTTCGTATGTCACACTTAGGAGAAATGAAAATTAAATAAAGAAAGAAAAGAAATAAAGAAAAACACACAGCAAAACCTCATTCATTTGTTATCACATAGTTCAAAATATTGTGGATTATTTGTCATGCAGGAATCGCTGAGCTACAGAAATCTGTAAACACGGCTATCACACAACAGTAAGGACAGCGGGTTTCTCTGTGCCGTGCCGAGCCGAGCCAAGCCAAGACAAGCCCAGCCGCACTACACTGGTTGCTACACAGCATTGCCTAGGAACGCCTCTGTAAACATGGCAATTATGCAACAGTGAAGCGAGGTGCATTTTCCACTAGTCCAATGGAGAGTTTATAGGAGAAACCGGAATTCCTAAGCAGAGGTTCTCGGAGAGAGTTCACGGAGTCAGTTATGAGAGAAGCACACAAACAGACTATAGAAGAATATGGGAGGTCACCCTTTGAGGATGGTGAGTGTGATTTAGAATATTTTGTGTGTGCTGTAGTGCAGTGATATTGGGAGTGTGTGATTTAGACGATTATAGTTCCTGTGTAAAATCTTCTGACAGGAAACGGATAGTGAAAAAACTGTCAGGGCTTAGCCATAGTTCAGATCTGTTACCTAGCAACGACTAGTGCAAGCAGGTATAGAAGACTTTATTCATGTGTTAAATTACAGTAATCCTTAGAGTGTTCTAATTATTTGTAGTCATGACTTGTAGGTTGTTAATAAAACCAATTAACAATCTGAACGGCGTCTTCAGTCAGCCAAACACGTTACAATATCATTCAACCTGAAGCCATTGCTAGCCGCCATTCAAGAACATATAGGGTGATTCTAAATTATTGTCGGGATTTCCTTGGTCTATAATTTTCAAATTGGAAACAACAAAATAAAACTGCTTATGAATATGAAAGTGTAACTCAGAAAGTTTCATTAACCTATAGAATCAATACTGCAGAATATTAAATGACTTCAACATGTGTGCCTTTTGTGGCATGTAAGATGTCCAAGTGGTATTCTCCAGTTCTCCAACATTTGAGGTGTAACTGTTTCGATCACAGCAACAATTCTGAGCTTCAGTTCTTCGAGAGAAGTCATAGTGGTCTTGTAAACAATGTCCTTAACATATCCCCATGTCTTCAGCAAATTGGAAACGGTGAGCTTTATCATCCAGCTTTAAAGCCTACTGCAAAAAAGCTTGTCTAGTTAAGTTTTGTGGGCTTTGAGAAAACGCTTCCTGGATTTCACAGAAACTCTGACAATAATTTAGAATCACCCTCTACAATTCCATGTGCTCTTTAATGTGGATAGTTAAAAAATCAGTTCATTTATAATTTTAAGTAAAAATTAAAGTAAAATTAAAGCATAATGCACCTCAATAATTCAAATTGTTGTGAAGAAGTAGTTTGCATCTTCTTAATAATTTGTGTACCCCTATAGTATTATGATTATTAAGAGAACAGCACGCTTTAAGCTCATAAACAGTTAGAAATTTGACTGGGAGGGTGGCTGCTGGCTCTGATCAGGCACTGAATATAAGAAGTAGGGTAAATCGGACCCAGTGCACAGAAAAAGCCACATGAGACCAGAATGTTGTCTGTTTCAAAACAGAAGTTCTTAAGCTCTCAGTGGTTTCAATAAAAAGAGCAAATGTAATAGAAAAGCACAGAAAATTCTGAAATAACAACTGTACCTTCTGTTCTTGCATTATTATTCTGATTTTAATTTATGTGGAAATGAAAAAGTCCACAATGGAAATGACACCTCCCTCGATTTTCCTCATAGAATTAATATTCATTACCAATCTGTTGCGATAATAGCATCATCATCTTTGACCAAAAAACATCATTATTCACTATGAATATTTCATCTCCAAGCACTCTGAATTAACAAGGTTTTATGATATGGAGAAGTCCGGTTATAGAAAACATCAAATTGAGAATATCCAGTTACATAATTACAATGGTCTTACTTGCAGCTCACAAAAAAAATTAAAGCAGTTTTGGTTGTTTTTTTAGGGTTGTAATATCAAGTATCTTGTCTGTAGAGCTCTGAAGCTGTTGGTATGGAACTTCTGCTTTTGTGTCACCTCTGGCACTACCCAGTCTCTGAATTCGTTCACCTGCATTGTGGCACAATTTATTGCTCTCCTTGATCCGCACAACACCTCCATTAGCATCACCTGCAATTGTAAAATTAAATATTTCTTTCATAATTCAGATTACTGAATTTCTGGACTTTGTCCATCATCCAGCATTCTAAAGATCACAACATTTTAGAAACTGGATCTGTTTCTGTTCGTAGGTGAGAGGGTGAGAGACACTTACCCCATTGGGTTCATTAGAGAGAGCTAACCACAATCACTAGACTAGCTTTTCGTAATAGATCCAGTTTCAAAAACATTATGATCTTTAGCGTTATTTAGAATATGACATACACCATCACCAGAATCCTTTGGAATTTACTTCTTTCATATTGCACTACCAGTTTCAAGAAAAGTCATGCTAATAAATTGTGAAGAGGACTGTCTTCTGGGATGTCATGTCATGAAAAATAACAAATTGCTTCAATGGTTCAATGGCACACCTGTTCAAATACCAAATAAATTCAGCCAAAACAGATATATCTTGCATGTAGCAAGGAAAAAGTTAAAAGTCAACATATCAAAAAGATAAATTTCCTCTTCAGAATTACTGGGTTTTTGGGCTTTGTCCATTGTCCAGTATTGTAAAACTAGAGAATACATTTTGGGAACTGGATGTATTTCCATCCCCAGGTAAGGAGGAGACACCTTCTCTGTTGGGTCCTCCCTTAGAAAGAGCTAACTTCTATCACCGGACCTGGTTAGCTCTTTCTACAGGACACTACAGGGTAGGTGTCTTCCCCTTCACCTGAGGATGGAAACAGATCCAGTTCCTGAAAAGTTGTGTTCTCTGTTTTTGAGAATACTGGATGATGGACAAATTCCAAAAACCCAGGAATTCTGAGTGTTATATCCAACATACCCTTTAGAATCTACTGTTCCATCTCGTGCTTCATCTAAGTATCAGCTATACCTAATCAACTAACGCTATTTCTATTGTGTTATACAAAGAGAGAGAAGACATATTTTTGTATAGGGATTAAAAACAGTCTAAAGTTGAAAATACATGTGAACTTAGTATGTTCAAACGCTGGTCTTCTGGATTATGACACCCTGCAATCTTACAGGTTCCCAGATGTTAGCTATCTTTCCTTACTTCCTGCATGATTTGCCATCATTATACAGAGAAAACTTTGCATACAAAGGGTATAAGTACTTGTGCCTAACCACCACCCCATGAAAGCACATGGAGGGAGTGTAAGCAACAAAATTACAAATACACAGCGTGTCCAGGTTCTGTTAGGACTGTGCTCATTAAAAATACAAGACGTGAATTATTTTCAAAATTTCACTCTTTTTATTTAAAATAGTCTCCTTCTGAATCAATACATAGCTGGAATCGATTGAAAAGTTTTCAAAAAGTCACTGTACTCCTTTTGTGGAATCGCATTTCGAACTGCGGTAAATTCCCTTTGGATGTCCTGGATGGTGTCGTGACGGTCTCCTTTCATTGCCAACTGAACTTTTGGGCACAACCACAAATCTGCAGGAGCCAAATCTGGCGAATACGCAGGATGATCAAGGACTGTGATCCCTTTTCTGGCCAAAAAATTGCGCACAATCTTCGATTTGTGGGGCGGGGCATTGTCGTGGAGGAGCAACCAAGAACCTTGTCCTTCAGGTCGAATTCAAAGAATTCTCGCCCACAAATGATTGAGGACTCAGAGATAATAATCAGAATTCACTGTTTGACCTTCTGGCAGAAATTCCTTGTGAATGATCCCTTTGGAATCGAATCGAAGAAAACGATTAGCAGTGCCTTTACTCGACTCTTTTCCATGTGCACCTTCTTTGGTTTCGGCTTCTTTTGGCTCAACGACCCTGCACTCTGCCACTTTGTGAGAGGCTCATATTGAAAACACCATATCTCGTCACCAGTAACAATCGATTTTGTAAATTTTGTATCACTTTGGGCTGACCGTAACATGTCTTTGCAGTGTTCCACTCTGGCATGTTTTTCATCGCCTGACAGCATGTGCGGTACAAACTGCGCACAGACCTTCCATTTGCCCAAATCCTCGGTCAAAATTTGATGCACAGTACTTTTTGGTATTCTCAGAATCTCCTCGATGAGTCTTGCAGAAACACATCTGTCTGATGCAAGGATTTTGGTCACTTCTTTCACATTTTCTTCGGTGCGACTTGTTCTCGGCTTTGATGTACANAAAAAGAGTCCTAACGGATCCTGGACACACCATGTATGTGTTATCTAGTCTGTGTATTTGACATTTATGAAATATGATGGAAGTAAAAAACTGGAAAATACTGATAATACATTGATAATAATATATATTTTTTAAGGTTATTTAATGATGCTTTCAGTATTGAGATTATGTAGCATCAAGATACAAAGGTTGGTTTGCACAAAATTATGCAAGTACTTTATGTTTATTCCAATTTTATGTGACTGATACGTTCTTATTTATTAACAGTTCATTTAAAAACATGCCAGTAGCCCAAAATATATAGTGTCACATGATGGGATGATGGTTGTAAATACAGGAGGGGGTTAAACTAGAGCTCACAAACAATACAGGAATCAGAATCACCAATTTTTCACACATCCCAAATTAGAATACTTCAATATGTTGCCAAAGTGTACTGAATAATACCTTGAGATGGCAGCAGGTGGTACCGTTCAAGGTACTTCAGTGTTCCAAGAGACAAATTCGTGGTTTTCATTGCCACATTGTAGAATGTTACATCTTGCATTCTATCAGCTTGTTTCCCTAAAAACATTAAGCACACATTCTCTGTAAATACATAAACATAAATCATATCTTACAGAAGCACCAATGAAATCTGCGGTGCACCAGTAACTGAACTGGAGAGTGGAGAGAAGGGGGAAGACAGGAAGGGTAACTAGAGAGACAGAAGAGTGACTGGCCTAACTGAACAAAAAATGTAATGAAAAATGTTAACAAAGGCACACTCCAACACAACACTAACACTGATATTGTGGTCTTCTGGGTTATGACACTGTGTAGTCATGTAGGTGGAAACCAGTGCTTTGAAGGAACATACTGTCTCCATTTTCCGGGTCCACCCTGTGGGCCTGACATAATACTGTGGTGTTTTTTCTCAAAGCAAGAACTGTGAAGCCAGAGAAACAGCCACAGCTAGGTAATGCCTGCACAAAATGATAGAGGAATTGTCACGAAACATATTATGTATACAGCCATTGCTAAGGAACAGTCGAGTAAACACATTCCCATAGAAATGTTTATACACAACAAAAGAAGATCTGTCCATGCTGGGGGGTTATAAAAAGGACAAAGAAGATCGTTTAAGTTAGTTCAGTTAGAGTCAGTTATGAGAAGTAACATGAAGTACGTGGAGGTCATTCAGTGGAGGAGTTTAGTTGAGCTGAGTTAGTACAGTGTATTGGATGGAAGTGAGTTCATTGGCAAGTGAGTGAACTAGAGGGCTGCTGTAGTTCTCTGCTTGCACATTTTCATATTCTGAATAGGTGGAAGAACTACTTCTCTCAGTATAGAAAGTACATAGGGTCAGTGATGTTAGGCAGATAGAAATTCATACAGCTGAGCCATAAGTACCTCATGCTAGTGCTTCTGAGGTTGAAATTGCTATTGCAAAGTTGAAAAGGTACCTGTATAAATCGCCAGGTAGTGATCAAGTTCTGGCAGAACTTCTTCAAGCAGGAGGCGAAATATTACATTCTAAGATACATAAGCTAATTCCTTCTATTATTGCACCAGTTCACAAGAGGGGTGATAAAATCTACTGTTATCAACTTCATACAAAATTTTGTCCAAGTCCATATACAGATAAAATTATTAGGGATCATCAGTGTGGGTTTCAATGTAACAGATCAACTACTGATCAGATCGTTTGCATTCATCAGACACTGGAGAATAATTAGAAGTAAAATGAGTAGACTTCAACAAAGCCTATGATTCAGTTAGGAGGGAAGTATTGTACAATATTCTGTTTGAGTTTGGGGTGCCCATAAAACTAGTTAGGCTGATTAAAATTTATTTAAACAAAACGTATGGTAAAGTCTGTATATGTAAACATTTGTCTGATAATTTCCCTATCCAGAATGGTCTAAAACAAGGAGATGCTTTATCACCACTCCTTTTCAACTTTGCTTTAGAATATGCCATTAGGATGGTCCAGGAAAGCCAGGAGGGACTGATATTAAAATGGGACATATCAGCTGTTGGTCTATGCTGATGATGTGAATCTACTGGGTGATAATAGTGTGACATGTTGACCCCTACCTCCCCAGCTGCACGTAGCTGTAACGTAGCGCTCGCGTAATAGGCGAGTAATCACCCCGCATCCTGGTAGCTATGCAACGCGCGGTGACGTCACGAGCGGAGCCGAAGTGAGCCGACGTTAGCCGAGTCCCCGCAACCTTGAAGCTATGCAAAGCGAATCAACAGCGGTGACGTCACCGAGGGATATCACGGTTGCTAGGCAGCAGTCAACAACTCCGGACAGCGTGGCTAGCAACACGGCACTAGACGACAATTGTCCGATCGAGGCTACATAAGGAGCAGCGAAGGCTATTCACAGTCAGTCCTGGAGCTACCGCCGAGTCAGTCAGTCAGGCAGTCCTGGAGCTACCTCCGAGTTAGTTCAGAGTTAGCCAGCAACCAGTCAGTTGTATTGTGGCATTTGGAGTGTACTATTTGTGATACTGCAGATAGCAGTAGTTCTAAAACTGTCAATTGTGTGATTGTAAGTGCGAATGTGAAATAAAATTCGCTATATCCAATACGGCGTGAAGTTATTTGTCGCGTCATACGCCCAATACGCGACAATATAGATACCATAAAGAAAACATAGACTTTAACTGATGCTAGTAAGGAGGTTGGTCTAGAAGTAAACACAGAGAAAACCAAGTATATGTTGCTGTCTCATCACCAAAATGCAGGGCAAAATTATTACATAAAGACAGATAACGGATATTTAGAAAATGTGGCACAGTTCAGATACTTTGGAACAATGATAACAATCAAAACCTGATTCAGGAGGAAATTACAAGGCGATTGAACTTGGGTAATGCTTGCTGCCATTCAGTCCAGAACCTTGTGTCTTCTCATCTGCTGTCCAAAAACATAAAGAATAGAATATACAAAACTATACTTTTGTCTGTGGTTGCATATGGGTGAGAAACTTGGTCTCTGACATTAAGGGAGGAACACAGACTGAGGGTATTTGAGAACAGGGTGTTGAGGTGAATATTTGGACCGAAGAGAGATGAAGTGACAGGAGGTTGGAGAAAACTGCATAATGAGGAACTTCATAACTTGTACTCTTCTCCAAGTATAATTAGAACGATCAAGCCAAGGAGGATGAGACGGACAGGGCATGCTGCACGAATGGGGGACAAGAGGAATACATATAGGATAATTATTGTGTTTGATAAACTTCGTTTTTGGAAATTGTGTTCATGCTGGGTGCCAAAGATGTTTACAGAAGAACACAAAATGAAATGGCAGGCCAGTACATTGATTTTTCTGACATGAGGCAGTGAGCAAGGCAATGACTTCTTGAGCCACAGTGAAAGGGGATGAGACATGGGTGTCGCACAAGACCCCTGAATTGAAGCAGCAGTCCATGGAGTGGAGGCACACATAATTACCAAGAAAGAAAACATTCTAACAGACCACTTAAACTTGCATGATCATGTGCAGAGCATTTTGGGACAGAAAACGCATTCTGCTCATGGCTCAACAATCAATGCAGGTGTCTATTGCAACAACTGCATTGTACAATGCAGAACAAGTGACATGGCATGATTAGACGGGGTGTTGTGATGCTTCATGACAATGCCTGCCCTCACACTGCTGCCACAACGCAAGATCTCACCGTGACATTTGGCTGGGAACAATTTGATCATTCCCCCCTACAACTCAGACTTAGTGCCAAGTGATTTTAATGTGTTCCTGCCTCTGAAAACTTCCCTTGGTGGCCAGCAGTTCCACAACAATGAGAGGTCAAAGAAGCTGTTAACATGTGGCTTGCATCGCAGGTGGCATCATTTTACAATATAGGGGTACAAAATCCGGTGCCTTGCTACGACTAGTGCCTCAACAATTGTGAAAACTATGTCAAAAGTAAGGCCGCACCATAGCTCAAGCGGTTAGTCACTGGCTTCCCACTGCGGCGGCCCAGGTTCGATCCCAGGTCTGGTCAAGTGGGATTTGTGGTGGACAAAGTGGTGCTGGGGCGGGTTTTCTCTGAGTACTTCAGTTTCCCTTGCCAATCTTCATTCCACCAAATTTTCCATCATCATAATCACCCGGGGCAGGCTACAATAGGCCAATCAGTGACCTCTGTGCCAAGTGGACCCAGTTGGACTCCACCCCCCACTAAGCGAATTTAAAAAAAAAATTAAAAAATGTCAAAAGTAGTACACAGTATGTACATCAAACGACAATATAAATGCTTTGGAAACAAATTCTTGTTTTCTTCAATAGCCCATCAGAACTTACTTTCTGGATAACCCTTGTACATAAGTACAGTACTCACCTTGCTCATTATGGTTCAGGTACTTGAGGGCCAAAGCATTAATATGTATGCTAGTATCCGACTCGCTGCTTTCAGTTGCAATGGGCACAATATCAAGACGAGGGCAGTGTAATGAGTCGAACTGCTGAACCCTGTAAGTCACAACACAATAACAAATTCACAACTGCAGAGTATACAACAAACCTCATGAAGCACAGTCTTTCTTGAGAATCTAACAGTTATTAAGCTCATCAAGAAATTCTCCACTTCTTATGGAACCAAGATTCATTACCATGTTTATAATAGCTCATTGCTAGTCCCAGTCATGAGACAGTAAAATATGGTCACAAGTCGCACGAGACTCAGAACCAAAGACGACTGCTGGTGAGGGCTCAAAGCAACTTACCAGACTGGCAGACCTTTCCTCAGCTAGATAGATCAACACATTATCAAACTCTATTTGTTTAAGATCAATATTAATATTATCCTCACATACACAGCAGGTTTTCCAAGTATTTTGAACAAAATTCTATAGGCAAATTCTCATTTCTCTTTGGTCACCCTAATATTTGATGAAGAGTATAAATTATGCAGCTCCTCATTATCCAACTTTCTGTATCCTCTTGTAACTTCTGCCCTCTTAAATAAAAATATCCCTTGAGAACCCTGTTCTCAAACACCCTCAATCTATATTCCTCCTTTATGTGACAGACTCCACCTCCATACAAGGCAACAGGTGACATTAAAGATCGTGAACTGAATGGTAGCAAGCACATCGTTACTTTAATCTTCTCTTAATTTCTTCATGAACACAATTTTAATTTATTGTCATTTCCAAATATCTGAACCTTGCCACATGTTGAAGAATTTATTAGTTACCTATAAGTTATGTATACTGCATTCTGTTAAAGATTACAAAAACATGCACTTAGTTTTCTCTGTACTTACTTCTAGATCAAACTTCTTTGTACCACCTAACAGAGTTTATGTATTTTTTTACGATAATTAGGTTTAACCCAGTAAATTAACACTTTGCAGACTGGTGATTTAAATATTTAAATCACACTGGGGACTGGCATTTTTATACCTACTACCCTAACTTGTGCACTGTTCACTTTAAAAATTAATATAAAATCTCCGAATCAATTTTATGAACCACAATTTTTGGAGAACACTTATCAATGCTCCTAGAAGTGCTTGAGAGTGTGATATTTCTGGAAACATTCCCATTTGTGAAGTGGCATTACACACTTGCAAATGTAGACAGTCATAGTCATTTTTTTGTGAACTGCGCAAACACGGCATTGCCTAGGATGCTTTCCCTTGGAATGTTCACTCTTCACAATTTTCACGAGGGTATGTTTCCGCATATCACCCGAGAGTCGCACTGTGGGATCCACATGAGGCTTGCATGGGGTGGGATTGGATGGGCACGGTCGCACTAAGTCTGTGTCTGACTCTGGTTCTGCCGCCACCATCTGGTCTGTAGCCCAGGGCTTTGCCACATTCATCAGAAATGCTTTGTATTTCAATTTCAAATCAGGGTTTAGATTTTTGTAAACCAAAAATGAACTTAAAATGGCACAATTTATAAGCCACAAGGCAACTTTCACTTTCATTATCTGTGGCCACAATTCTCTGTTGACCCCTGTCACTTCCACTGTCTGAGTCACTAATCACTACTCCTCCACAAGGCACGTCAGATAGCTCATCGGAAGACAAGTCACAGAGATGGCTTTGCTTTCAACCGCTTTTGTCCTTGAAACAGATTCCCCTCTACTAACTTCCTGCCTGGTACATATACAGCTGGAAGGGGCAAAGTTTATTTTCTTTTGGAGTAGGGACCCTAGCCAGCCAGGTCAAGTTACTGAATACCTAGCATACATTCTGAAGATTTATTACACAGTATTCATTGCAGTTGTGTGGCGCCAGAGCAAGGTATAGTGTGTTACAACCTAATGTGTCCTAAAATCATGATATCATGCAACCAGTCTGCCATGTTTAAAAGTGAAAAGCATGATATTGTCACGTGTTGGGTGTATACGCGACAAATAACTTCACGCCTTATTGGATAGAGTGAATTCTATTTCACATTCGCTCTTACAATCACACAGTCTTAACTCAACTCGTAGGCTGCTGCCTTGAGAACTGTCTTCGGTGGCTGTGTAGTTCCCTTATAAACCCTCAGCTGGACAATGGGAAAACAGTTACATAATAGGCACCACTGTTGTCTGATGCCGTGTTTGCCGATAGCCTAGCAACACTGTTGGGAGTTGCTTACGGCTATGTAGCAACTGCGGCGTCCCATGTTACGTCACCGCTGTTTACTCACTTTCCTTAGCAACCGGCGTGCTGGGACTCGGCTCACTTCGGCTCCACTCGGCACGTCATGGCTGGCAGGGAGGGAGGGGCATCATCCATAGCGCAACACGTCACAATATCATGCGTCCGGTCCACAAAGTGTTAATATCAGCATAGGGCATAAGCTGTTGTATCCCATTCAACTTTAATCCCTCCTGATTCTCTAATAGCATATTCTGATACAATGTCTGTTGGTATTTGTGGAATAAATAAATTTTGTTATGACATTGCTTATATTGGTTTTGCATCATTTTTAAATTTGATTTTTCTTCCATGAAATAATTTAGCAGACATTGTAACTTACAAATATATTTACATCATTTCCAACCTTCTGACTTCAACAGGAACATCACTGCTGCAAGCATTATGAAAACTTATGCCCATTTTTCTGAGTTGGTCCATTGTAGCATTTTTGACGTCCTCTTCATTTTTATTTAACCTGCGGCTGTCGTGCTCATCATCACATCTGTTGCGGGGGTCACTGTCATGAGGCAAGTCTTTCAGGAGCTTATTCACCTGACCCTGAAATATTACACTATTTCAGAAGAAACCCATAATTCTCAGTTAAAAATGAAGGAGTGGTTTGCTTCAGTGCAATTTAAATATATGCTGTTATATTAGCAGAGATGAGCTAAAACTGATAGTGTTGTATGATACCTTTATGCCAAATGCAAGGTAATCAATTTATTCATTAAAAGACTGTTACACAAAAATCTCTCTCCTTCTCTCTCTATATAATTGAAAGGTAATGGTGAAATGATCTTCATATTAGAGTGTAGTTTCAAAATTCTTTTACTTTAATTTTTAATTAATTTCAAATTGGGGAGCTGGGATAGCTCAGTTGGTATAGCAACTGGCTATGGATTGGAGGATGGAGGAGTCGGAGTTAAAGTCCCGGTGAGACAAGAATTTTCACCTGTCCATGTTGTCGAGACCGGTTCTGGGGTCCACCGAACCTCCTATACAATGGGTACTGGGGGCTCTTTCCTCAAGGGTAAAGCGGCCGGGGCGTGAAGCTGACGACTCACCTCCAACTAGTGCCAAGGTCAAGAAAATGTGGATCTATACATCCACCATCCACATCCAACTCATTATCTCACCAACCAACTGAATGACTGACTGAAAAACTCCTCACTAACTTGTCCTACTTATAACATCTAGACATGGACTACATAGAAAACGCCACTTGCCATTATTGTCATATCCTCTTGTGGCCATGGCAACTTGCTTGTCTGAGGAGCCATTTCTCAGATGAGCTTTGTATAGTTGCTTATTTCGCAGTTGTTGCCTAGTAATGGGTCTACATACCACACTACTATACTGAAAGGTGCTGTCAGTAGCTCAGGCTATATAACATCAAACGACTGAATGACAGTGAATAATGAATTGGAAAGGATGTGGTAGGAAGCAGCCATGGCATAATTTGAGATACTATGTTCCAATGTGACTGGAGGGGCTGAGGACAAACAATGAAGAATTGGTCAGGGCAGTCAGTGTCTGAGCTGAGATCTGAACTGAACAACTTCCAAATATATGCCACAAAGGTTACCACTAAGGGCAGCTTGCTTGGTAACACCACTTCATTAATAGTGTAGTATGTACAGTATTATAGTACCAAATGATGGGGTGCCTATGAATGTATGGAGAACAGCATAAAACCATATGCATGTGACCATTTTTTTTACGATTCTATGACAGAACTTGGCTGTAGAGCCTGAGGAAACCCACAAGAAACCTGACAGGGTGGGCAGCCTCCAGTCTGAAAACTGAATATAAAGCAATATTGCTATGAGTACTCCATGATGTTTGGCTAAATACATCCAAGAAATTATTCTTCAGCAGTCATAATGAGAATTTTAAAAATACAAAGACAACTATATGAAATGGAGTGCCTATTGAAGAGTGGCTTGACGATTTCACAGTTGAGATGTATACTTAACTTACAACAACATTATTGTAGAAGGTCCATCCTATTCTGTTGAGTCCTTCATTGTTCCTCTGTTGGGAGTTATCTTCCTTGCATGAGTCCATCTCCTGAGCACTGTAAACATATTATGCCAGTTCATTAATTTGACAAAAATACCAATAGCTGAGTCTAGTGTTGAACAGTATCATAATTTGAAGAGGACGTGGAAGTTGCCATACCCCAATTGGAGGTACTATCCCAGCATTTGCCTGGATGGTCAGGAATCTTAAAAAAAAAAAAAACTCAATAAGGTGTTCTAATCATTGGACTGAGATTTGAACCTGGAAACCTCCCTAATACAAAACTCACTCAACCACAGCCTTCGATGTCAATGCCCTTAACACAATACATGTGCTGAAGTTAATTCTGTTCTATGTACATCCAAATGAAGCCTAGGTATTGTAATTTTCTACTTAAGATAATAAGATTTTGATTAGAATTTATGAGACACTCATACCTTGACAAAGATTAGCAAACAGGTGTCAATGATTCCCTTAAACAAATGACAGCAAATCTCAGGGCTTGAACAACTGCTAGCAAGACAGAAATCCCACAGTGTGGACTGTCTCTGGGTCACAAACCTTGAAAGGTTTAAACAAGATCTTAAAATCTATACATAACTGCTCTCAAGTTCGTATCTTGTGGTCCACTGGGTAGTGGCGCATTATTTCGTTACCAAACTATTTAATCAATTCATATCTTTAAGAGTATACAATTGCGACTGTGAAACTGGCCTGTTTCACCAAGAGCATAAAATGTGCAACAGGGCATGTTCACTTATCTGACTGATTCATTAAGCTAAAACAGCTTTCTTCCCCTCCCCCTTTGTATGATATACATTATCCTTTAAGAGCATAGCAACACTGTACGGGTACGCGCAGTCCACACGTGCGCAACGTGTTTTAAAATCTAATTTTAAGATAGGAATTCTTGTTTTACTTACATTATTTTTGGGTACCCGCTTTATAAGTAGATAGTCTTCCCTCTGCGTCATCTAACTGAATGTTGCATCTAACTGAATACAGAGTCCGATGTCATAATTCATGCACTTTGTCTGGATGTAACTCCATTTCCCATGCAAAGAGCACACACAACACCTCAGTCTCATATTAGAGGATGTCAGCCAGTGATGTCGAGTGGCCTCCTCTAATTGTAATGCTTATAAAACATCGCAATTTCAACTATCCACCATGGCCTCATTTTGCACTGGAGAAGCCGAAATTGAGAGGCAGCTGATAATACACTTCCCATGCTTGAGTGTGCGTGGGGCGAATGTGGGATGAAGGAATGTTTTTCCAGTTTGTATAAATGACACCGATTCAGACTGTGGTACAGACAACGCTGAAAGTGGCGAGGAAGCAAGGGGGCAATGCGGGGTTATTCTGAGAACAGTACCTCTGTGTGGCTACTCTGGGATATACACAGTCAGAGTTTCTGAAGGACAAAGTACGATAAGACTTCGACCACACTCGTGCATACAGAAAGGTTCCAATGTGAATGGAGAATGTGCAATACAAACATAAACTTCCACCCCTGTTGCCAGATAAGACATAGTAAGACAGGATGTCAGCAGCATGCGTTTATACTGCAGAAACGTTTTGTGCAGAAACTGTATGCATATTTGTGGATAGACGCTCGAAATTGGGAAAATTTTTTTTTGGAATCAGTGTAACAATTCTTAAAGATTTTAAAATCTGTAAATTACAATATCTGATTCTATATTCTTTCTAGATAAAAGCAGCGTTTATTTCGTTCATTACAAAAATTGTAGAAATCACAGCATTTTCAGTAACATGCTTACAATTTGTAATACTCTATAATGGCGGGCATTTAAATTAACTCCGGCCTGCTGCCATTACCAGAATTTAAATGGCCTGTCTATTAAAGGTTATAATGAGGTTAGGTGGAGATATTTGTAATAAAACAGTAGCTAAGAATTTTGTATCATTCTGATAGATACCTGCTTATGCTGCAGGCATTGCCTAGGAAAATGTTCCATGGTGCAAATGAGTTAGAGAAGCAACATGAACTTAAGCCACAGCATTAAATAACTATAAATAGATTCCCCAAAGATAGAAATACGTGGGACATGTTAAGCAGTTTCCGTCTCAAGTTTCAGGGTGAAATCAAGCACAAAATCAGCTGATTTTTTTAGTCTTCACCTTTGGGAATCTACAAATAACTGCATTTACTTTGTACGTCAGCACACAATCCATTCAATCCATCTGAATTATAATGGCTGGTAAGGTTATCACAGATCAATTTGCCCAATGAAATCTGCCTATCTCCCGCCATGTTTCTGTCCATGACGAAAAAGGACATGGCTCTAGAATTTGATTTCTTCAAAAATTTGATTTATACAAGATTTTCATTTTAAAAGAATTTGATATAAGAAAGGACAGGTAGTACATTTTAGTGAAGAAGTTGTTAGCGTTAAAAACTGTAATTACAGTGATCAAAGTGCTCTAATATAGAAAACTGCCATTCCTGTCTCAAATCTTGGAATTTTTCCAAATTCATATCTATATCTAGTCTCAAACTGAAAGGATAATTCGTGCATATGTCTAGTACTTGTGAGTGCCCAAACATGTGCACATGTGCATGAGAGAGAGAGAACGTGTCTGTGTCTATGCATGCATGTGCAAGTCAAAATAAACTTAGAATTGCATCATACGCCTTTGATAAAGTCAAAAGGCACAAACTATGATCGACTGCTTACTGATTTATTTTACAATGTCTCAACAACTGCGTAGGATACACACACAGAAGATTCATACTGTATATACTGCACAGCACAGGATATATAGTACAATATAGTACAGTACTTATATCATAATAAAGTCCTTTGAAAAGCAATGAAAGATAATTTTGAGACCCGAAATAAGTCCACAGTATTCACTGAAATTTGATTCTCCACAGTAGTGAAAATTAAGACTGTGTTCTTCTGAGTTATGACACACCAACCTGCTACCTTTACTTTTATACCCTGAAGACTGAGGCAACAGTTTTTTCTGGAACACTGACAACCACTCATAAAAAACAAACCAGAAGACCACAGTTCACATAATACCATGATCCACAGTGCACTCACATGTCATCATCGTCTTCTTCATCATCCTCATAGTCATGCATGTCGACATGTATGGATGACACTGGGCTAGGTGCCTGTTCCTGAACTGTAGATAATTCCAGGCTATTGAAACATATTGTCTCATCATGGCTTTCTGGGACATGCACTGAAGAGTGGTAGCAAACAGAACTGGAATGTAATATGAATTCTGTTCACAGCAAATGGCGGCCATATCCCTTCAAGTATGATTAACTAACTAATTAATAACTTCATGAACCTGAACCGTTTTCGAGAAGTCACCAGTTGTGCAACCACTCAGAAACTTCCAAACATCTTATGGAAACCAAAGGTTCATTCCCATGTTCACAAGAGCCCTGGTATGATTCACTAAATCACTTAATATGTTTCATCATCCTTCTCTATGTAACTTTCAGTGATGTTCTAGGATTGGTACCAAGCCACGAAGACATATGAGTGAGTGGAGGTAACAATCCACCATTTTTCATTTTGGCACTAAATGGAGATGAGTGGTCAGCTTCATGTCCCTGCTGCTTTACCTGTGGGGGGACCACCCCACCCACCCACATTTTTTAGACCATTGGCTCACAGATGGCGGTGAGATTGTCAGCGTTAAGAGCTGGCTGCCCTTTACCCCTCAGGAAGATCCATGGTACTCATTTCTGTTAAAGGCTGAGCTGACCCAAGGGCCATAGGGTGACTGGATTGGGTCAACTGAAATATCAAATGACCTCATCGGGACTTGAACCCACAACCTTTCGGTTTGTAGCGTGCCCCTACACATCTTGAATATAACTCACTAAATATTCATCTCAGCAAAAAAATATCCTGAATACATGTCATAGAGAAAAATGAAATGTACATGTCATGCCCAATAAACATTCTTAGACTTTTTTAACATAAACAAAAGGGAATGAACATTCCGCAATTGCTATGTGTTATTATTCATATATTTAACATAAACAATGCAGAAGTTTCTGTTTTATATTATCTGTCAGAGTCAAAATCCTTGAAAGGTGGAATAAGAAAACAGTTTTATCAGGAAAACTTCCTAAAACAGGTAACTATATCATTAGCTGCTTCACCGTTTACATAACTGGTAATGATACTATCCATGAACATTAACCTACCTGTTGCCTGACCTTGGTTTTCTGTTATGCTGATCTGTCCTCTTCATGTCTTGTGGCTGCTGAGAATCAGCAGCATCAGTCAATGTTGTCATGACTCCAACTGAAACCACTGGGGTAGGGTCCGTGCTCACTGCAGCATCACAGTGAATATCAGTAATTACTGTCTGTGTTGATTCATCAACCACTTGGACATGCTTCTTCAAGGACTGGATGCTGGTGCAGACAGGAGTGGCAGCAGAACTACTCGTGTCTCTCGTTAGCAACAGCGTATCAACTTGTGCCTGTAAATGTCTCAGTTGTTCATTTTGTGAATGAATAAGACTGTACAAATCAGATAAAGATTTATCATTACTGTCTAATTCCTTCACTTTTTTCAATTGTTCGTATGAAGTATCAGCATCCTCTGAAATATCTCTGACATTCATACATTGTGTAGGGTTCCTGGCATTCCTACCATCAGTTTCCAAATTACAATTTCCTGTTTGATGGGTAAGAAAACGAAACTGAAACTGACTTTCACACCTGAGATCTGCACCAGGAGACAACTTCACACCTCTGTCTTTTCCTTGTTCATGAGGGAGCGAAGAGCAGGGCAATGGAGTGACAATATCTTCCTGATCGTTTGGCACAGAATTTTGCATGGATGCAGAACACTCAGCTCTGGTTCTTTCCTGTGGGATGTACAATGGGTCAACCCTCAAGCATGTCATTTGTTGCTGAGGTGAGGAAGTCTCTTTATTAAAATAGCATTTGTTCTGTTCCTCATCCTCTCTGTCTGAAGGAAATTTCTGTCCTGAACTCTTCTTCTTTGGATGCATTTTGTATTTACTTTTTGCCACTCCATATTCATCCCCCGTAGATTTGGAAGAGTACATAAAACCATGACTGTTTCTGGGACTGTTCACATCATGCCATACACTTCTGTCATGTTCATTACTTACAATCTTTGGGGATCCACTGTGTTGGTACAAAAATCTGTCATATTTTCTGTTACTTACAGAACTATCACTGGAACAGGAACTCTGCAGTACACTATGGATGTCTCTGTTTCTGTTAGGAGTATTGCACTTATTCAAAAATGTTCTTGGCAGGAACGTTCTGTTGGAATTTGTAACCACTTCAGTCTCTATAGTCCTGTTATCTCTGAGAATATTTGCACGTGACAAATTGAAATAATCTGAGTTGGTCTTTCCTGAAATACCATCACGTTTATGAGTTGAATGTTGGAGCAATTTACTGTCTTCATGACTAGAATAAGATTTATAGCTTCCACAGTTCAAATTCTCACGACCATGGCCTGTACTAGGTACCATATTCCTCCTTTCTTGTACACTGGTCTCATGACATAAATAGCCAGGTGTACTGTGAGTAGATGTTGTAGCAGTTCTGTCATTTACCCATGGTGTATTGCTGAATACGAGGGACACCTCTGGCACGGATGGGGTAATGCGTGGCTGAAAATAATAAAGTAAACAGCTTTATACATAAAGCTCCATAAACGTATATAAACTGCAAAAGGTCCAACTGATAAAGTTAGCAATCTTGCAAGCAACACTCCTAGTTCACACTTCCTTCTGTATGTTGAAAGTTGCATCTGATATAGATAGCATTATGTTAGTGATTTACTAATAACTTATGCTCCTAAAACCACTAAATTCCATATGAAAATTTTTCACAGTAGGTCAGTCAGTACAGTGACAAAATATAAAATGTCTCAAAAGATAAAACATCCAGACTTTAATGTTATTCTATGCTACAACATAAGACACCACCAAACAGGGATTGCTATTGCACAAGGAATTAAGTTGCATAAAATGGTACAAGCAGAATGTGACAGAGCACAGCAATGCTGAAATATAGGATGTCCAGATTAAAGGTATCCAAAATAAAAAAATTATATCTCGGAAAGTAATTGTCATACACATATCAGGTTTATGTCATCGGAAAGGAAAACCCTGTAAGTTTCTTCTCCCATGCCCGGCTTATGCGCATGCGCTGCCACATTTCTGCCATCATGTTAGGAATCACTTGGACAGAGTGATGCTTGGGAGATAGATCAGCAAAAGTGGATCAATTGCTTGGTCTCCTATGTTGTTCCATTTAACCCCACTTATTTTTTTCTTGCGGGATTATGTGAAGGACATTGTCTACCAGGTTAAGATCAACGACCTGCAACACCTGAAAGCCCACATAAGGGACGCTGTGGCTATGGTAACACCAAACATGCTGGATCATCTGGATAGTTGTTCTACCACCAAGGAAGCCAACGATGAAATTTATTGAGAAAGTTATACACTCAGAAAAAACTTTGACAGTTCCCCTTTGTAATGGTGTAACCCATAAATATGTATAATAAAAGTTTTCTGTGATATAATTATTTTATTTTGAATATCTTTCATCCAGACATCCTGTATTGTGCTACGACTCAAATTACAAGCAGAATGGATAATTCTGAGTATTTGGTATTCTTAATGTGTAACTCTTGCTTTCAGGGGTTAGCTGTGTTGTACACTGAAGCAGTTCCACTCTTTCAGCACAAACTGTAGTTGCAGGAGGATACAACCCAACATGTAGGTCTTCCAGTGGAAATAAGAGCAATACTGTGTAAAATGAGAAGAGATCTTGTGGTTAAGAAAAAGATCTGGAAGAAAGGATGTGAAACCATACCATATGGGTTTAGTGACTAGAGATTGGGTTTGGATTGGTAACTGGATTTACTGGACTCTTACAAACCATAACTAAAATTAATTATAGCACCATCACTAATTCACTCACTCTACAATTCACCACAGCATGCACTAAGTCTTCTCAGTCTGCTGTGTCTTGACTGGTTGCCTGGTAACAGCTTTCAATGCCACAGATTCATCAGCTTCTATGCTCAGCAGCTCCTGTCCTTGCTGACTGCAGATTGGCTGCAACCCCTGGCCATTGTCTGTCTCCTAGCCATGTCTACCACTGGCTAGTGCTGACTGCCTGCAGACACACTCACAAACTTGACTGACTCTTAGTTGGTTTCAGTTCTCGAGGCATCGCTTCTCCATGGACCCAACAGAGAACACCACATCCCACAATTCCTCTACTGTTCCATGCATAACTGCTGCTATGGTGACACGGTACTTACTGTGCCATAACCTAGCAACAAACATCTTCACTGATTAACTATTCCAGCTTTCAGCAGACATGCTGTAATATTTCATCCAAGTCTTCTTGGGTGATCATCTGTGACATGTTGAATTAGCATCCACTGTTTCAGGGGCTTTCACTATCTCCATCATGAGGGGTCAATACATGAATGCCATGTCCGCATGTTGTATTCGTACCACAGAGTATGCTTTCAGCTGTCCCAGGGCACGCTGCTGAGAGAACAGTGGGTGGGGTCAAGCCAATGGTGTCCTGCCCAGTGTGGACTGTAGGAAGTATAGTGAGTCAAGTGGTTAGTCATAGCAATCCATGTTGCTTGTCGATGGTTCTTACTAAGTTATATTGATGGGGAGGGCTTCTCTCATCAGAAATTTTATACTATTCTTGTTCATAAAAATTAAGATGTTTGTTACAAGACAAAGGGATGTTGGTACCTGATACGAGGGGGAACGACACAGTGCATTCCGTGGCTGAAGGTCTTCTGCATCGTGCTCATCACTGTTCATTCTGCAAACAATAAAATTACATCAGTGACCAACTAAACTACACAGTTCTAATTGTCACCTCTCACAACACAAAGAAATCTGTCCTGATACATAACTTTACAACAGCCTCACTCCATTTCTCTCTTAAAATGTATTCAGCTGTGTATGACTAATTATTCACTTCAATTCTTCATTCTTTTTAGTACTTGAAAAATGTGTCATGTTAACAATATTAGCAAATTATATTAATGTATTAACAGAACACACAGGTGACTGACTGCATTAGCATTATGCTTAACAAGAAGAAGTTGGCTCCTAGGAAAAGAGGCAAGATTTTCACATCTGTAGAAGATGTATACAGACTTAGGTAAGACAATTATATAATTATTATTAAATGCGTGTGCGATATATACAGCTGTTCAGTCACTCAAATAAAATCAATGTCTGAAAGAAACAAAATAAAGAATCAGAGACTGGAAGAGCATTTCATAAGCAACACACTAAGACATATTGTCCTTTTATGATCATAAAGGCATAATTACACATGTGTCATGCACATGTATGTAGTATCTCCTACGTTCAACCATCACATATCACATGATTTCATCTGCTTGGTTTCCAAAGCACAGGCTTAATCACTGCATAGTAAATTTTGATTACATTTTTTACAAGCAGGAGTATGGAGCTGGGATAGCATAGTCGGTATAGTGACTAGCTATGGACTGGAATACTTATAATGCCCTTTCTTGGGGACAGAAGAGGATATTTTCATTTGAAGGAGAAAGCTCTAAATTGCATCAAGTGGAGGAACTGTTTTGGAAGAGACTATGGACCTGTCATCTTGACAGATTACAGATGAATGAATGAATAATGGCATTTAGACATTTCCTCTTCAACTGTTATAGCACTCTTGCACCTCTGATCTCGGTGAAGCGTCTTAGCTCTTCGTTCTTCGAAGCTGGACTGACTCCTGCTCTAACTGGTCTCCTGTCAGATATGAACTATTATATCCTGTACTGGGGCTGAATAGGGAACACCTTGTCAAAGGGTTTAGTTTCGCCCACAGCTATGCAATGAATCTCTTGTTGCCGTGGGAATACATTTTTACTGCCTCAAACAATTCATTGCTTAGATATTGATAGCCCAATGTTAGGTTCTCATGTTCTTCCAGCGGTTTGCTAGGTAGAATGCTTTTTCACAGTGCATTGTGTAGTGACGGATGTCTTATAATCCAGCATTCAGGCAGCACACCACAATACATATAAAAAAATCACTGCAGCAATTTCTTCATCTGTCAGAAGTGGAAATCCAAGGTCTCCTTCATCCAGCTCAAGCCAATCATGAATATTTTGTTGCATGGTCTCGGTCTCTCCAGCTGCCCTCAACATAGTCTGAAAGCCCTCTTGCTCCTAAATCTCATGTTTCTTTTAAAGTATGTACTCAACTGGGAACAGAATTTTTCATTTTTCATATTTTGATCAAGATTACCTGATTTCCAGGTTAAACATAACCAAATTAATGAAGGTTTACTGCATGTAAATGACTCAAACTTTCTAGATGAAATAACAATTAAACTCAGATATTCAAATTTCCTCATGTAATTAAAATAAAAACAATACAGGGAATTAGGATTAAAAGTACATGGAAACACTTTACCACAATGCTTCTACATCACTTTAATAACGGGGGCACGCGATAGCATAGTTGGTTGAGGCACTATGCTACAAGCCGGAAGGTCACAGGTTTGGGTCCCAATGAGGTGGATTTTTTCAATTTACCTAATCCTTCCAGCCGCACTATGGCCCTGGGGTTGACTCAGCCACTAACAGAAATGAGTACCAGGAATCTTCCTTGGGGGTAAAGGGCGGCCGACACGTAAGACTAATAACCTTACTGTCATTTGTGAGCCAATTGTCTAGAGAAAATGTGGGAGCCTCAACCTCTCACAAGCTTATGGGCCTTCATAGCCTATTACAGGGAAAACTTTTACCTTTATGTTGAAACATTTCTGGACATTCTCTATTACAGCAAGGCTCCTGTTCTATGTTCCTCAGTTTAAGATTTTTCTTCATTTAACATTCAATTTCAATGATCCTAAGTCAATCTCAGTGCTCTATTTTCCTCAGTTGTGTTCAAACCCACTGCTCCTAAAAATTGCTTTAAGTTGAGGTTTTACTGCACGTTCTTGATAAGAAATGGAGAAATACATTCATATGCATATTAGATGTACTACTGAACTTCTTAAATTCTAATTTAAATAAAATATCATACTTTTCAAATATAAATTAGTACAAAAATAATTAGTTTTTAAATTTAAATAATAATTCTGATAAATGCCAAAAATAAGAAATAACAATTTGGCTATTCTGCAAGTTTCTATACATGCTAGATTTATTCTGTTGGTCAGGCTGCATCATAGCTCAAACGGTTAGCTGCTGGCTTCCCACCGCAGCAGCCCAGATTCAAACCCAGGTCTGGTCAAGTGGGATTTGTGGTGGACAAAGTGGTGCTGGGGTAGGTTTTCTCCAAGTACTTCAGTTTCCCCTGCCAATTTTCAGTCCACCAAAATTTCCATCCTCATAATCACCTGGGGCAGGTACAATAGGCCAATCAGTAGCCGCTGTGCTGAGTGGACCCAACTGGACTCCCCCCCCCCCCCCTATGTGAATAATTAATTATTCTGCTGGTCACTTAATGATGCTTTTAGTATCAAGAATATATAGCAACGGTTAGTCTGACAGATCAGTGATAAACTGGAAAGGATTTGGAAGAAGTCATGGTCTAATTGAGGAACTACTACAGCACCTGCCACAAAATCCTGAATGAAATTAGAACTAAGCCCTCCAGAATATAAGTCCTAGACTACCATGTTCTGTGATAACAGATTTTGAATGAACCTAATGAACCACAGAAAGGTAACTTTACAGTATAAAGGTTTGTAATATACAATTTTGATTATCAACAACTTACACTGCTTCAAATGTTAACCAGACCAGCTTAGAGGTTCACCCAACCTCCTATCCAATGGGTACTGGGGGTTCTTTCCACCGGGGTAAAGCAACCAGGGCACAAAGCTGACCACCCCCTCCTGCTAGAGCCGAGGTCAAGGAAATGTGGATCTATACATCCACACCCCCATATGCCTTCATGGCATAGTGCTCAATTAGTTAAGCACAGGGACAATTTTACCTTATCACCTTACAATATTTCAAGTTAGAACAGACTAGCCCAGCTTAAATGATGACATCTGGTTGAATAGCCTCCAAGATATAGCTTACAATGTAATTAAGGAAACCAGAAACTGACTGCATAAGTATATCCCATTGTCTCCTCTCTACACCGGGTCTGCTACAAAAGAGGATTTGTAAAATACACGTTTCTGCTTTTGATGCAGAAGAATTTGAAAAGAATGAAATTCATGTGGCATGGATAAAATTACATATAGGCAGAAGTCTGGTTCTTATGCCAGCATAGCTTCATTACAAATTCATCAGCCGTAACAAATTCCAAGTTCACGGCCGGATAATTTACACCAGTAGAGACGTCAATCCATCAGTTACATAAAAATTAGCAACCTATCATAAACTCTAGGCAAAAATTACGTAACGCGACATAATTTAAGGTAATCAAACCGGATCGGCTGCAGAAACTTCAAAACACTGACAGACAGATCCTCATTGAACTTTACAATTATTCAAACCTCTGATAATCCAGGCATCACAATCTTTCTAATCGTATGTTACATGCATACACTAAACTAATTTATAATTTCACTGTAACATTAGCAACATATGGTTACCTCTTAAGCAGAATATGAATTCACTTAAACCCTGGACGGAACGCACGAAGCAGCAAACCTTCAAAAAGAGCATTGACAACGATTTACAGGCCTTACTTCTCAATTTCACGCCGAAACATTCAAAATAGTTCACATTCCTACCACGTAACGGCCCCCATATCGCCTAATATGATGCACACTAAATGATCCGTGATGTGTTCACCTGCAACATGGATATCACGATTGTTACACACCCATATATTCCCTAACATATACAAAATGCAGCATATGTACGTCGCCAACAAACACAGTAATATAGGCAGTATTCTGTGCTGCCAAGCGGCCTCCGTAGTCTAGGGGTAACTAAAGGTACGCGGGTTCAAACCCGGCGGAGGTCGTGGAATTTTTAAGGGCGGAAAAATTCAGGGAACAAGTCCTCCGGGAGGTACTTTAAGCCGTGGGTACCGTGTACGGCACGTAAAAAAACCTCATGTCCCAAGGGGACCACTGAGCCAAATTCAGGAGTCTCTAACGCCTCTGGTAGATGGGGGAAGCATCGAGATACCGCTGAGCCAGCAGAGACCGAACTCGCTGGCTGAGTCGGGACTGATGGCACGCACCAGTACCGGTAGGGAATAGAGACTGGTAGAATATCATAGGGGGATGCATAATGGACCAACAGTTCGTCTAAGTGCATGGGGAAACGCACCCTCTCCAATATAATACAATACAATTCTGTGCTGCCATCTACTACCAGCGCAGAAATACGATGGTACCATGGTAACTATACTAGAATCGGTACTTGCTCATGGAGCTGAGCCCTTCTTAAGGAGCCGCCAATTCTGCAGCTACTCAAGAATTTCTCAGCATTTTATGGAACCCGAAGGTTCAACACCGCATTCACAAGAGCCCTCCACTGGTCCCTATCCTGAGCCAGATCCATCCAATCCATACCATCCCATTCTATCTCTCTAAGATCCATTCCCTGTGGTCTCTTTCCTTCTGGCTTTCCCACCAATATCCTATACCCATTCCTCATCTCCCCCATTCGTGCTACATGACCTGCCCACCTCATCCTCCTTGGCTTGATCGTTCTAATTATACTTGGAGAAGAGTACAAGTTATGAAGCTCCTCATTATGCAGTTTTCTCCAACCTCCCATCACTTCATCTCTCTTTGGTCCAAATATTCTCCTCAACACCCTCAGTCTATGTTCCTCCATTAATGTCAGAGACCAAGTTTCAGACCCATACAGAAGCACAGGCAAAATTATAGTTTTGTATATCCTAATTTTTGTTTTTTTGGACAACAAAAGGTTCTGGACTGAATGGTAGCAAGCATTACCCGAGTTCCGTTTATAGGAATCAGTCCAGGTCCAAGGCTTTGTGTTCATTTTTGTAACATACTGATTTTTTACAATGAGGAGCTGTTAGCCCCACGCCCAACCCTCAATCTGGAGGGCCACCCCTTGTTGGCCGTCCACAACTGCTTATTCAATATATTCACAGCTTCTCTCCAAAACTGGAGGGTGTCTCCTCCATCCACAACCTGGGGATGTGCCATGCCATCGTGACAGGGACCCACCTAACTAGAATTGGTAACGAAGTTAATTACTACTCAACTCACCTTTTGCATAACCAGGCTACTCGCAACTTAAATCAAAAGTAAAGTCGTCCCTTTGCTTAATTAAGACACATGGGAGAATAGCGGTATAGCTTGACCGTTCTTGACCTTGGAAACAGATTGAGGCAAGTGGTCAGCTTCATGACGCAGCTGCTTGACCTCTCAGGGAAGGAACCTCTGGCCCCAATTGGATATATGTATGGCTGTGTGAGCCTGAGTTGGTCAGGAAGCTATAGATTAAAAAAGAATTATCTTGCCTTTGCCAGGAATCTAACTCCAGACGTCCACTACATAGCCCTTTGCTATACCGACTAAGCTGACCCAGATCCTACTCATGTTACAAATTAATAATTACTCAAAAGGCCATCCTCTTGGATATGATGCTATATAATCTGGTGAAAGTTCGCCAGTGTCTCAGAGAAATGTACTGGAGCCGTTTTCAGTGTAAAGCAACTGAGTAACATAGCAAGCTGAATCTATTTGCTGATGTAATGATGTAGGTCAGCATTTCATTATAAAAGTGTTTTCAAGAACATACTCTATAAACAGGCTATGTGGTGGGTAATTCTGAGGGAGGATCAATAATTGGACCATACTGGTTTGAAAACAGTGCAAAAAGTTAAATGTATTTTAATATGCTAAAAATCATGATGTCCAATACTGCATACCTGTGGTTTCAACATGGCACCCTACCACATTTATCTCAGGAGGTTAGGACCAGAATGTTCTCTGGTCAGTGAAGAGGTTGAAGAGAGACCACCGAATGGCCACACAGATCATCAGTTTCACTTAGGGACATTACAACTCAACTATTTGCACATACCTACCTACTACATACTACTACTACTACTTGGCACTACAGCCCTGGGTGAACCTTGACCACCTCTGCAACCAGTCTCCACGAACTATTTGCACATATCGCTCTAAAAGCTTGACTTGAAAAAACAAAATCTGATCTGTGTGTACTATGATTAGTTTGGAGGCACTCAGCAATGTTGATAGGGGCTGTTCAGTAAGGTTATACCTTGCATTCTAAAAATCCTCATTTCTCTGCATTCATCTTTTGTTACACAGTTTTACTGTAACTAACACGGAATGAAGTTACACATAACAGGAATAAAAATTAGGACAGGCTTGTTCCCAAAATATATTTCTATCCAATTGGAATGTAACTAAGGGAAGGGCTGTCCTTTATTCAGACTATGTATAAATATAATAATACAGACTTGTTAACTCTGTTATAAAAAGTATTTAAACACTTACAAAATTACATTCTTTGTTGTGCAACAAATATTATCAAGAGTTCATCACAGTTCCACAGTATGTTGTTACATAGTATGAACTGTATACAATAAAAAATTGCAGTTGTAACTAAATATTAACTAAAGTGGCAGCCTTGCTTCTAAGTTGATAACAAAATACTGTTCGCCCTGAGATCACATGAATATTGACATAATGAACCTTGTTCATAAGATATCTCATGAAACCTGCTTCATAAAGCAGGAAGCTGCACAGCCTCACTTCCTTTCATCTTCCTTAATTTTTTATTCCACTTTGCTGTAATACTTTTTGTTCCTTCACAATAAGAGAACCTTCAAAGTTATTCTATCAAGAAATGATTCAGATAAAAAACTGTAGTAACTAACAAGTAACTGACTAGGAAATATAAATAAAATATACTAACTTAAAAGTTGGCTTGGAGAAATATCAACTGTGGTAGCAGTATGCACGAGAAAAGAAGAGTGGGCAATAAAATGGAATGTAAAGTACAGGATGCTATAATTTTTAAATTCTGCATTTCTTCTCAGCATTGACATTCCTTCTGTAAGTGTACCTTCAAGACTGCTTGGATTCAGTATCATCATAGCTCTGAAAACAGAAATTATGTAAAGAAATTTCCATTCCACTTAACAACTGTATCACCACACTGAAGCTTACATTCTAAACATCTTCCTTAGACTCCTTACTAAAAAACCAATATAAATGACACAAACATTCATTACATTCAAGAGCTTAATGCACCACACTTGTTGGTGATATTACACTTATTATCATGGAATATGATATGGAGGAGTGTTAACAAAACTGATCAATATAAGTGCTATCGGAAAGTTCCAGGACTGTTATTGTTGTTAACTGCCTCAGTGAAAGAAGACGAGAGGAGATACCAAGGTCACACTTCTGCCAGCCTTTTTCATCAGTCTGCCACATGACAGCGTGCTGTGCTGGCATTCACGTTTTGAGGCCAATTGAGTGTCAGTTGAAGATGACGAACATTCATGGTGACCTAGCACCAGCAAAACGACAGAAAATATTGAAAAAAATTTGAGAACTCATCCATGAAGACCATCAGTGAAGAATCCATGAGCTTGGAGACAACAATCTGAGAGGTCACAGACACTGTTTGGATCAGTTATGGAGTTTGCCAGGAGATCTTAACATAAAATTTCAACATGCTCTGCACTGCAGTGAGGTTTGTTCCCAGACACTTGAAAAATGATCAAAAGCAGTGGCACGTAAACGTGTCTTGAGCTAATGAGGACCACTTTTCAAGTATCTCTAGGTTCATAAAGGGTGGTGAAAGTTGGATTTAAGGTTATGATCCAGAAACAAAGCAACAATTGTCTTAATGGAAGAGCCCACAATCACCAAGAGCAAAAAAGGCATGACAGATCTGGCATTCTACAATGAGCATGCTCGCTGTTTTTTTTTTTTTTTTACATATAGGGGTTGTTCGCCGTGAATTTGTTCTGCCTAACACCACAGTCAACTCTACTTTTACTGCAATGTTTTGAGGCATTTGAGAGAAAATGTGCAATGACAAAGACCAGAACTTTGGCGCAACCACAACTGGCTTCTTCATCATGACAATATTACCACCCACATGTATCTGAAAACCACAGAGTTTGTGACTAACAACATGGTTATCATTCCCCATTCTCCCTACTTGCCGAACTTAGCCCCACGTGATTTCGCTGTTTCCTAAATTGAAAATGATACTGAAGGGATGAAATTTTCAAACAGTGTATGAAATCCAAAGGGAATTGCAAGCGGTACTCGACAGCATTAAGGAAAATGACTTCCATGATGCTTTTGAAGGGTGGAAAAAACAATGAATTGCTGTATATGTTCCAATGGAGACTATTCTGAAGGAGATGGCAGCCAAAAGTATGTAAAGTTATGCTAGCATTTCTCTTTTGACCTTGTCTGGCAACTTACAGCTAGCACTTGTATTTCAGCTCTGGTTACAATTAAGGCAGAAATGATGAACACTTAACATGAATAAATATTTGCATTTCTACATGTTCCTGACTAATATTGATGGAAATGAAATGTGTTTTCAATGAATGTTATAGGGAAGAATAAAATATAAGTTTTCTCTAAGTTTTACTGGTTTCAAGATAATTACAGTCCATTGACCTTATGCTTGGGTGAAAACTGATCAGAATACTATGTGACAGTATGAGCAGTATGGGGTTGGCCAGTTTGTATCAGGGAACAGAGTACAGAGCTGAACAGAAAAGTGTTACCAAGTGATCTTAGTAATCACATCTTCACCTGTCATTTTCAGCCTCTGCATTACCATCATATGTAATTCTCAGACCTTGTTTATGTACTACCTGTTTTATATTTTTCAAACTGCTCCCTTTCTTTGGCTAAATAATAAAACATGACTACACTGTACTGAACAGTTCAGGCCCAACACATCTCATACCATTGCTAAGCAACAGCTGAGAACCTCAGCAGGAAGCTAGCCCAACCCCCTTGTATGACTGCTTCAGTTCCCTGCAAAGGTCAAGCTTCGTAAGAAAATAAATGGATTTATGAAAAAAAGGTGCCATGTGTGCATTTCCACGCTTGTATATTCAACAATCAACAATAGTCTCCCATACACTCATGAAGACTACCCTAATTTACATGACAAAAGTCCAATTTTATGAATTCTTTCTACAGCAGGCCACTGTGCAAAATGATGTTGCATATAACAAAATAGAATCATTAAGAAATACATGTACTCATATCAATATCTGCCTGTTGGAGGGGAGAATTATGTTGTCAATATCTAGAATATATAGCATCAAATGGTAACATGACTGGTGAGTGATGAATTAGAAAGAATTTGGAAGGTAGCAGCTGTGGCCTAATCATAGTATTACACTGGTATTTGCCTGGAGGAACTGAGAAAAAACATAACAAACTTCTTAGTATAACCAGCATCCCAAGGGAGATTGGAACCTGTAAAATATAAATTCCTAATGGGTAGTAACCCATTAGCAAGAGATGGTAAAGGCTCACAATTTGAGAAACCATGAATTAATGTTAACCATTCCCTACTCGGAATCACAACTCTAATAAATTCACTAAATATTTGAAACCTGAGTTATCAAACAATGTGTTCCAATAATATTACATTTGTGTATCCTGTTGCATTGATGTATCACTCACTCATTCACCTCTGACTTCAATGCAACTTGAAACTGTTCACAATTGCTCTTCAATTTAAAATAACATTAAAATAACATAAATTGATACATGTTTTGGCCTTGATTGACGATCTTCAGGCAATTGTTCACTGCATGAGAACTGTCATGCTGTACTAGATCTTAAGTCAATATATGGACAATGCAAAAGGAAAATACCGCAGATAGAATTTTAATTTCAAATGAACACATTTTATTGTGAACAATGATATGCAATAGCATGGAAATATACTGACTTAAGATCTAATGCAGTGCGACGGTTTTCAAAAAGTGAACATTTGCCTGAAGATGGCCAAGTAAGGCAAATATTGTAGAAATTAATGTGATTTCAATGTTATTTTAAATTTAAGAGAGACTGTGAACAGTTTTAGTTACATTAAAGGCAAAGGTGAACAAGTGAGCATGCTCCAAACAAAGCATTAATCATAGTACTCTTTATGAATATGCCGTTACTTAATTACTTACTTCCTCATGGAGCTTAGCCCTTCTGGAGGAGCTGCCAATTCTGCAGTACTCAAGAATTTCCAAGCATTTTATGGAACCTGAAGGTTCATTTTATGAATATGCCATGATGAAAAAAAAATGATATATTCTTTGAATAATTTCACCTTTTCTTACCATCTTTGCCTTTTTAGTGAGAGTCTCTATCATTCCTTTTCCTGTCTGCTGAACCATGTTGAACAGAAAGCCATTCTTGTTCAGAAGTAACACATGTGGGTGATCAAATTCCTGAAAATTTATATAAAGTTACACTTCACATTATGAAAGATAAGATACTATATAAATATATTGAATGAAGTTCTAGTAATAATAATGGCAACTGAAATTTGAGCTTTTTTTAAAATAAGGCACGAAACATAAGCAAGAAAGTCCAGAAAAGGTTTTACCATTCATGACATACGATTGTCAAACGAGGCAATTCTGTCAAAGATGCTTACTTGCTTGTTACATTTTTGGTTTTCAAAGCAGTGAACACAAGGCATAGTATTTTCTGGGATGTGACATCATGTAGTCTGGCAGAAATTCATGTATATTTTGAAGGAATGTACTAACTCCATCTTCAGATTACAGAGTAAGCCAAACAAGTAAGCAGCAATGCTGCTGATGATGGAACCATCATGTTCTTCTAAAATGTCAGTGTAATTTTACTGGCATATATGACATTACATTCAACAAGACAGTCTTTATGCTTCTTTCTGTTAGTTCAGAAAAACTGCAAGATAATATGTCACACTGATTGAAATATTGAAGAACTTAACCACAGGATATCTAGTACTTCAATGGACTTGAGTGTAAAATAAATACAATATGAAGGATAATAATCAGCAAATGTACTTAGTGCAGAGAGGTAGAGTACAAGACAATGTACAACACAGAAGAAAAGTGGGAATAAGATATGTAAATAGGAATTCTCACAGCAGTGGTTATGGAGAGATCTGTCTTCTGGGACACAAAGCCATGTAGTATGTTGAAAGTCAACCGACATTTTGGAGAAAGATTCAGGGTTGAAGGGTAAAACAAGGAAGAAATCTACATGAAACATGCAGCAAGCAAAGCAGACTCTTCATGGTAAATATATAAATCACAGACAAGGAAGAAATCTACATGAAACATGCAGCAAGCAAAGCAGACTCTTCATGGTAAATATATAAATCATAGTTTAAGAGGAAAATGAATGGGTGTTTCAAGGTGCATACTCATGACATAAGTGACTGAGTGATAAGGCTGGCTGGTTCTGGATACATTACAATGCTGTCAGTAATCAGACTATATATATGTGTGTGTGTGTCACAGATTGGTTAGAAAGGATCTGGAAGAAGTGATTGTGGCCTAATTAACATACCATTCTGGCATTTGCATAGAGAGACTGAGGAATACCATGATAAACCTCACTCAGGCTAGATTACACATTACTAATCATAAATGGAAATATCCTACAGCAATATACAATGTAGATTGTAGGTAACTTATCTACTCCATTGTCTAAGAACTCTGTTGTCTACTACTTGGGGCAGCTGCTATAATCAGCATTCTCTCAGCAACATTCAGTAAACTATCTCACATAATCACATGCAAGGCATTGGGCTTTACAGTACATTATAATTATGGCTTAGAAATATCGAGTTTGTGCCAATTTAGAACAAATATATTGATACATCTATGAGTCCTCCATTCTGGATTACAACAGAATGCATTTGTAAAGCACGAAGGAGAGATGTTGATTTTAATTATTAATGTAAAATGATATCTCTCTAATAGATGAAAACAACCTTTGTTTAGTGATAGAAACCTGGGGCAAAAAGCACAAAATAGTAAAAAGCTGCAGCAGGGTGAGAAGATGTATTGCAATCACTGTAAATCATCACTGATGCATATTACTGACACAGATAAAATGGGAAACATTGAAATCATTATGAAGCCCACAGTAAATAATTACAGGGATTCTAAAAGTCCTGAAGATAATACACACATCAGATAAATAAACTTCTTTGGGATAAGCAAGAGTCTACTGCAAATGCAATGGACAGCTGAGTTACAAAACATGAAATCTGGGTAAATAAAATCTTGAAATTGACACTACCTGTAATGCAAGCCAATGTTTTCAAAGTTTCTTAAAAATATTATTATTTCCTGTCATTCTGCATATAAAAACCAAAAATATTATTTTACAAATTATGTACTGTGCATATGAAATCGAGGATGTATCAGTTTACTTAGCAAATGAATCATCTGTTGAACCACAAACCCACCACCATGGTCCCAGCATCCATGACAAGGACTCTATCACTGTCCATCACAGTGTTAAGTCGATGAGCTATTGTCAACACTGTGCAGTTGACAAATTTCTTTCGTATGGTCTGTTGTATCAGAGTATCAGTCCTACAAACAAAAGAATTATTCACAAGTTCCATTATCTGTTGAACAACAGGAAGTGACTGGATATGTTAGCTTACACGTAAATTATCCAGTTCATTTCTAAGAGCTGTACCTGTTTCTCTGAACAGGCTGATCTAGTGGTGACACTCAAGGTTTATATTTGAGAAGTGCTCAGTTTGAATTTTAGCTAGGACAGTAGTTATCCTAGGTTTTTATGGTTTTCCTCCATCCCTTCAGGTAAATGCCACAATTGCTTTCCTCAAAATCCTTTCAAATTTATCACACCATCATCTAACACTGTAAAAGTAAAAAAAAAGTAAAAGTAAAGCTATCCCTGTAACAGGCAATGAAGGCCCATAGGGTTGTGAAACGTTGAGGCTCCCACATTATCTAGACAATCAGCTGAAAGATGGCGGTAAGGTTGTCAGCCTTACACGCCGGCTGCGCTTTACTCCCCAGGAAAATTATTTAATTAATTCCTGGCACTCATTTCTGTTAGAGGCTGAGTCGACCCCAGGGCCATAGTGTGGCTGGAAGGATTAGGTCAATTGAAAAAATCCAGTGACCTCATCGGCTGTAGTCTTGATAATGACAGAGTCATTAAACAATCAACTAGAAACAATCTCATTGAAAACTGGAAGAAAACCATTTATGTTAACAAAAGTATTTTATGACAGATATTTAACATCTGTTCATAACCACTTCTCACACATTTCTCTCGGCACGTTCAACCTTCATATAACTTTTGCAGATGATAAAGCGTATCACAAAGTACCAAGAAATAGTCACAGGAAATGATAAAAAAAATGGAATATGGGTCAGTATGAAGAGAAAAAAACATACAGATTCCCTAGAGCAGCACTTCCCAAATGTAGTCACCAGATATTTTCTTAATCAATAAGTAAGTTGAAGAAAGCAGTCTTCTGGGATTTGGCACCGTGTATATGTGGTGTTAACTGATGTTTCAGAGGAACGTATCGCCTCCATCTTCAGGGTAGAAGGAAAAATATAAGAAATCTGCAAGCGAAGAGACCGTGAGAACCGGTAAAAGCTGCTTTTACTGGTTCTCATGGTCTCTTCGCTTGCGGATTTCTTATATTTTTCCTTTTACCCTGAAGATGGAGGCGATACGTTCTTCCAAAACGTCAGTTAACACCACATATACATGGTGCCAAATCCCAGAAGACTGCTTTCTTCATAGTCACCGCCATGAAAGCCTCAAATCTTACAATAAGTAAGTTCTTTTGTCAGAAAATTATTCCAAGTCTTGAGACAGATTTTCTTCTACCTTCATAAAATCCTTGACTACTTTTGTGCAGATACTGTGGATCTGTGTGACATGACTTCAACCTTTCACCTTAATTCTTTAAAGGTACAGCAACAAATTTATGAATGAAAAACTTCATGCAGTTCTTTGGATAGTTGTGAAAGAACAGCCAGTGAGCATATTTAGAAAGCTACTGTTAATTAAGGTAATCATTTTTTCCTCAAGCTTCGCTTTAAATGGTAAATTACTTACAATCTTCTTTACAGGATTTGTTTCATATGCAAAAAGTTATGTTTTAAGGTATGTGGCCACAGAACATGTTTCTAACTTTTCAATGTGGCCAGGGGAAACTATTTGCTTTAGAGCCATTGCATTAGAGAGACACACCCCTTGCTTTCATATCTTTGCCCTTTGTGCAAATATCATATAATAACCCATAAAAATCCCACTTAACAATTCCTTGAGGACGTCCTAAAAGCCACTAAGCATTACAAATCTATTACACTTATTGGTGGATGATATGATCCACCATTTAAATGAACTAATGAGCTTGAAACAACAACAACAAATTAAGAGGTTTAATCCTTGTTACTGATGTGATAATTATTTATAAGACAAAATGGAAGAAACATTCAACATTTGAATATACAAGTAAAAAACTATATACATGCATACATAATATGAAATATAAACTCCAAATTTGTCTAGAATTTTACTGCAAATTATTTTAAAAATTTCCATTAAAAGTGCAATAATGACTGTATATAAAACACAGATCTTATATTAAAACAATCAATAAAATGTAATAGTTTCACACACAATAAAGGATTTGTGGTCATTATGATCATAACAAAATATTTTAAATGTTATGACGAAAGCTTACACTTACTGAGGATCAACATTGGCAGTTGCTTCATCAAGTACCAAGATGGTGTTATTACGTATGATGGCCCGAGCAAGGCATACCAACTGGCGCTGCCCTACGCTGAAATTGCTACCTCCTTCCATAACTTTTGAGTTCAGCCCGGCAGACAGATCATTTACAACATCTTTCAATTCCACCTGTCACAAAACCATCATCATAACATAACTTCAATTGCTGCAAATATTGGAAATAAAAATACGTTAAACCATCTAGTTTGGTAGAGAAATACCAGTGCTTCAGAGGGATCTTGTTTCACAGTCTTCAGGGTAGAAGAAGGTATTTTTATGGTTACAATGCCCACTCTTTAAAAGTGCCAGATGAAGTAACAATTAAATTTTTCATATCCACATAATGGCTACCACATTTCCCCAATTTAAATACATTACATTCCACGTTTGGAAATAAATTAAGCAGTTGGTATATAAGAATCAGGCAGAATCATTTTAGGATCTGGAACTACTGCAACAGAGAACTGAAAATGTGTGACCTCTTGTATAACAAGATAACATCTGATCAGCCACTGCATAGATTCATGCCATACCCCCAAGAAAACAGGGTCATATTCAGTACTGGTAATTTTGTAAGGCTGTGGGCTCAATTATATACATAAAAATATTTCTGGCATTCAAAATGGGAAATATATTTTTGTATAACGAATCAAACTGAATAAATCTTTTTGTACACATACATAGGTATGTCCTACACAACACAGACAGAGTTTCATTCAAATCCATAGAGCCATTTACTTTAGCCAGTTTTTAAACATACAATTTCTTTTGTGCCACCTGATATAAATGTACTTATCATGAACCAGGATTTTCTTTTCTGTACAGCCCTTACAACACAAGATTTTACTCTATTTGAGTCTGTTCAGAATACAGACCTCTTCCAAAGCCCTCCACAGGATAGAATCTGAGTATTCATCAAATGGATCCAGGTTCTTGCGCAATGTTCCTGAGAAAAGAACAGGCTCCTGTGGTATGATGGACAGCTTATTTCGTAGTTCATGAAGACCAACAGTGAGCGTATCAATGCCATCAATGTAGATAGATCCTTCAAGAGGTGCTAATCGGAACAGAGCTGCAATTAGTGATGACTTCCCTGCACCTGTTCGGCCCACAATGCCTACCTGAAATGCAACATAGTAATAACACATGCTGTCCAAAGATAAACAGAACTTACCCATTATCATCCAGAGTTCTTTCTATAACTGAAGTCCAATCCCCTAATTGTTGGAGAGACAGAAATAACACTAATGTCACCCCAACCACCACCATAACCACCACCCTAATTGCTCCCACTGCTGCCACCAAAGCAGAGGTACTCCACCTTCAGCAAGGAGCAGAAAAAGGAGAAAAGTGAAAATGAACACCAAACTTCTTTACATTAGAATAACATACAATTGTCCACCTTTCACATAATGAACAAGAATGTAGAGCATGTACTCCATAGTGTAGTACATGCAATTACCAATGGCATTTCTTAACGCTTAATAAGCTTACTTAAAGTGGAAATAATGAAATGCAAATTAGTGACACTCTCACATACCAAATACCAACAAAATCTGTAAAACAGTTTATGGAATAAATGGAAATGTATATTTATGGCTTTATGTAAACTATGCTTCATTACAGATCAAAATTGTCAAAAAATGGAATTTCCAAAACATTTAGTGAAACCTGTGACACGGTTCTTGGCAGGAGTTCTCAATCTCTGTGATACTGTGTTCCCTAAAGTGATATATAAATCTACTTGACAGCCCCTTCCTCTATCTCAGCCATTCAGCAAAAAGTGCAGTTCTCTATATCCTCGCTATATCCATAATAAGCTACAAAATGTTCCTGTACATTCATGTCAGTATTTGCAAAATATTTTGCCAGCTACATTTCCTGTAAGCATCTAAATTAACTTACAAAACTCTGAGTGGATACAACTAAATTTTAAATAATTCTTGAGAACTCAGCATGCCCCCTTAGGGTAGGCAACAACCCACTGAAAGCTCATAACCCACAATTTATGAGATACATGGAAAAGTCCAGTTGTGGTCTCATGCACACTAAGCTCTATTAAGGATTAATATGGCTGAAAGTTGGAATTACTCTTCATGAAAGCATTCTTTATCAAATTTAAATCTGTCCCACAGTTTAGGTTGTGATACTGTCCTTGGATGGACAAAGATGACGTCCACATAAGGTGTTCCTCTGCTTTTTACTTTGTAAAGAACAGCTAAAATGAGCACATCAATCAACACTCTGGTGACAGAACCACACTGTTCATTTGAGCAGATGACAGGTGTCCAGCTGATAAAGACATTTCCCAATACTAAACATTACATTCATCACCAGCATCACAATAACTTATTATATGACTCCACTGTGAGCCAGTCTTTGTTTCAAAATAACAGAAAATAAACGACAAAATAATTTCATAAAACAACATTATAAAATTTACGGAAGGGTAACATCTCCCTGAATAAATACAGTAATAAACCACAAAGTGTCCCAACAGTTAGAGGACCACATGTCTCTCACCTTTTGTTTTGCCTGTATTGTGAAGTTGAGGTTCTTCAGGACAGGTTCTTCTGCTGGTGAGTACCTTAGATATAATCTGTCAAACTTGATTACTCCTTCTGATGGCCATGATTTTGGTGGCTTCTTGTCTGAATATCAGAGAGAAAGAAGAGGTACAGAGTTGATTACTTCCTGACACAGATTACTGTACCACCCATTTAGCAGCAAATTGAAGATAAAACTGAGTAAATACTAAACGAATTAGAAAGATTATCTAAATTAATTCTATAAGAAAAATATACTGAAATTGGACTTACAGTGTCAAAGAACAATTACAAAGAACAAAACACCACATGACTTTGACTGCTATACCCCACGTTGACAAAATCAAGATGAAGATTTTCCATTATCATTGGCATGCTCACAAAATATATGGTTACTTATATTGTGATATAACAATCACTGCCAACCAGCTATAAATACATGTGTGATGGAAACACAGAACATTCTTACATATTACAAAATTCCCAATATAAAATGTAGGCAGTGACAAGTACACGTACAAGTAGGATAATTCACAAAGTTCTAATACTTTGCCATGTGTCAGTGACTAGAAATGGGGTTTGGGTTGGTAATTAGGTTTACTGAACACCTATACCTCATAACTGCAAACTTACAACACTATCACTAATCTACACAATTTACAAGTCACTACAGCATGTGTTGTCTCAGTCTGTTATAGTCTTTGCTATTTGTTGCTCGGTTATGGTTCCTAACAATAGAGATTCTTTTACTCTCATGCTTATTGCTTTGCAGGCTGACTTACCATCTCACATCTAACAGCTAATTCAAGGCTGCAACTAATAGATCACTGTGGTCGTGGTGCAGGGACCAAGAAGGTCCACCCCTTATACATTCAACTCTCAACTAACAAAATTTGTTCTGTTCAGTTCAGTTCAGTTCAGTTCAGTTCAGTTCAGTTCAGTTCAGTTCAGTTCAGTTCAGTTCAGTTCAGTTCAGTTCAGTTCAGTTCAGTTCAGTTCAGTTCAGTTCAGTTCAGTTCAGTTCAGTTCAGTTCAGTTCAGTTCAGTTCAGTTCAGTTCAGTTCAGTTCAGTTCAGTTCAGTTCAGTTCAGTTCAGTTCAGTTCAGTTCAGTTCAGTTCAGTTCAGTTCAGTTCAGTTCAGTTCAGTTCAGTTCAGTTCAGTTCAGTTCAGTTCAGTTCAGTTCAGTTCAGTTCAGTTCAGTTCAGTTCAGTTCAGTTCAGTTCAGTTCAGTTCAGTTCAGTTCAGTTCAGTTCAGTTCAGTTCAGTTCAGTTCAGTTCAGTTCAGTTCAGTTCAGTTCAGTTCAGTTCAGTTCAGTTCAGTTCAGTTCAGTTCAGTTCAGTTCAGTTCAGTTCAGTTCAGTTCAGTTCAGTTCAGTTCAGTTCAGTTCAGTTCAGTTCAGTTCAGTTCAGTTCAGTTCAGTTCAGTTCAGTTCAGTTCAGTTCAGTTCAGTTCAGTTCAGTTCAGTTCAGTTCAGTTCAGTTCAGTTCAGTTCAGTTCAGTTCAGTTCAGTTCAGTTCAGTTCAGTTCAGTTCAGTTCAGTTCAGTTCAGTTCAGTTCAGTTCAGTTCAGTTCAGTTCAGTTCAGTTCAGTTCAGTTCAGTTCAGTTCAGTTCAGTTCAGTTCAGTTCAGTTCAGTTCAGTTCAGTTCAGTTCAGTTCAGTTCAGTTCAGTTCAGTTCAGTTCAGTTCAGTTCAGTTCAGTTCAGTTCAGTTCAGTTCAGTTCAGTTCAGTTCAGTTCAGTTCAGTTCAGTTCAGTTCAGTTCAGTTCAGTTCAGTTCAGTTCAGTTCAATTGCTGCTGGCCCTCACTAGCACAGTCATTCTTGCCTTCAGGTTTCATCAAGACTTTTGACCAATTTTTTTTCTCATAGACATACACGTGTTTGAGAAATGAGGCCTCTTTTTTTGCATAAGGTGAGGGTCAATCTTTATATGAAGGTGCTACTTTTGTTGTACAGTTGTTTTAGGTTCCTATGGGCATTTTGCTACATGCAGAGGGTTTCTGTCAATGCAGACTTGTGCAGTAGGTTATGCCCTAACTCATTTAACCACTCTGGAAATGAGCTAGTCAGCTGAATGGTCATAGACTGGACTGCCACCAAGTTTAAGCCTCTTTTCATATGCATGGCTTCTCCTTGTCCAGCACCATATAAAACTGAATGTCGATGGTTTAGGATTACTTCTACCTGCATCCTGAATAATTTAGATATATAGTCTTACACATAAGGAATTTTGAAAGCCACGAGCATTTAGCAGACCAGTGTGCATCTGTCAAATTTTCAAATAGTGTGGAGTATTCTGTTCTGCAGGCGTTGCAGTTTCAAGTGGTGACCAACTGTCATATACTTCCAGGTGGGACAGGCATAATTCATTACTGACCTAATTGGGACTTTGTAAAATGTAAGTTTAACATTTGCATTTAAATGCTCACTTCCTAACAGGGAATAAATTCTTATGTACATATGCAAAGCCATGGTTACAGTCCTTTCTATATGGAATCTGCAAGTCATTATCCTATCAAAGGTGACACCCAGATATGTTACGTTATTTACAAAGGGAATGTCCTCTACATTTAGCTGTAGCATGTCCTCAGGGACTCTCAAGTCTTCTGGAGAAACAGATCGCCTCAGTTTAACTTTCACTAATCTTTATGTTCCATTGCTCAAACCATGACTTCACTGCAGTGAGGCAACACTGCAACTTACAGAGAACATGACATTCATTTTTCTCTGTCCCATAAATACAGGTATCATCTGCAAACAAGGCAAGATGAGTTCTAAGTGCTTCAGTAGCATCATTACAATAATGGGGCAAGGATGGAACTTTGAGGCACCCCTGCTGCTACATTTCTTGGTGTAGAAAATTTGCCTTCTACCAAGACTTAAATTTTCTGTTAGTGAGAAAACAAACAATTGGCTTAATGCGACTTGTCAAAAAGGCTAATTCTGATAATTTATATAGTAGGCCAGAGTATCACATTTTGTCAAAGGCTTTCTTGATGTCCAAGAACAAAGCTGCCGCTGACACATTACTGTTCAAATTTAGGGTGATGTGATCAGCATGCACTGACATGTTGCGCTGTGATCTTCTCAAAAGCCAAACTGACTAGCATTTAGCGTACTCCTTTCCTCAATGTGACTTCAGATTGTTCTTAGAATTAGCTTCTCAAATAGTTTGCCAGTATTGGTCAAGAGGTTGAAAGGATATAAATTTGGGGGAAATTTCGCATGTTTGTATTTAATGCATCCTACTGCATTATGCAAACAAGGTACAAAGAGGTCATCTATACAACAATTTATCAAAAATGGCAATAAAATTGAATAAAAATTAATAGAAGTGTCAACATTAGTTTTTACTGTTTTTATTCTTTACCACTAGATGTTTCAGTCATACAGATGATCATCAGGTGGTTCATAAATAAATTATATAACCACTGGATAGCAAATTATTAAAACTAAATTTTCCACAAAGAAAATGTCATAAAATGAAGTATTAAAATTTTAAAATCATGAACACTGAAAATAAGGTTGGCTGCTGTTTTGTGTATGACCTTGGCTTGTATAATTGAGTGAGGTAAGTGACTGACCTCTGTTAATTCCTTAATAATTTATTAACATACTGTTGTGTAGATGGCCATCTTGTATCTTGATGTATTATACAGCAAAGTGATGAGACAGACCACTTTTTCAGCAATGTAATGGTGGGATCTTTGATGATTAGTAACTTAAAAAAATGTCAGAAAATGTAGAATTGGTGGAAGACACTGTTAGTAATTTTAGTTTTACCTTGAGGTGAAGTCAGAGGAGGTTCCTGCTCAACATGAGTAAACTCCATAACCCTCTCCACTGATGTCATCTGATTCTCTAATTCTGTCGACTGACGCATGCCCCACTGCAGCATCCCAGTGAGACCAATGGCCTGCGTTATAGCCAGACCTACATTGCCTCCAGTGTTTTCTGCAGTTAGCATAAGCAAAAATATATACAAGTTTTACCAACATATCATGTGATAATATGGAAAACGAGAAAAATTACTAAAAATTATTCCCATGATGAAACTCAGAGCCAAAAAAGCATACCATCATTTGACTCAGAACAGTCGATTTTTTTTTTCAAAACCAAGTAAACATTATATTATAGTATAAACAAACGATGACCACCTCTGTGGTCTAGTGGTTAGAGTTCCTGCTTACAGATCCAGAGGTCCCGGGTTCGATTCCTGGCGCTACCACATTTTCTGAGAAGTAGGGGGTCTAGAACAGGGTTCACTCAGCCTCATGAGGATAATTAAGGAACTATTTCAAGGAAATAGTGGTTCTGGTACAGAAACCTGAGATTAATGGCAATAGGGATCCATTGCGCTGACCTCGTTAACACCCTCTATCCACAAAAGTTGGCACTAACTTTACCGACAAGCAGGGGTTGCTCGGTCAGTATAGTTCGCTTGCAGACTACAGGCCATGGAGTTTGATTTTTATGCACAAACGATCCATGCTAGTGAAGTAAAAATGAAATACAAATAATCAAAAAAAACATTGTCAATCCAAGTTCCAGGTATGATTAGGAGATCAATATAGAAATTCAGTAAGGTATCTACAGCATTCAATTTGTTATCTGAAGAACCACAACAGTTTTACAGAAAACATATATTCAACACAAAATGAGTGTTATCACTTTTCTTTACAACTTTTAATAGAAACATTTCTTGTTCCAATAAATATTTTGTGAGTAGTGCTCAAGATACATGCAAATAAGCTTGTAGATCTTCATGTAAGGTGGTTGTTAAAATTGTCCAATTAAAGTGAAAACTTAAATGGCACGACAGTTCTTCACAAAATTGTCCAATATCAAATCTGACAACCCATCCACCATTTCTCAAAGTTTTGAGTGTGCCCGTGCCCATGCGCACGCGCATGTGTGCGTGTGCATGTATGTATGTGTGTGTACAGATGAAGAAATGAGTGAACTAAATGGTACTCTGCAGGGTTTTGAATGCACCTATAAAGGTGCACAGATAAGCTGCAAATCAGATAATTCATGCATGAATAATCAGGAGTAAAAATACTTAAAAGCTGTCCATGTGCTTAATTGATTAAGCACTATGCCATGTATACATATGGGGATATACTGTATAATTTATTCTGCATCTTACAACAGGTATGAGAATTAAGATGCTCACTTTCATTGAAGTAGAGAGAAAAGAGGAGTTTCAGAACATAGTGCTAAAGAGAGTTATTTCCTCCTCCTCCTCCTCCTCCTCCTCCTCCTCTCTTTCCTTCCTTTGTTCTTTCATTGTTTGTTTGTTTGTTCATTTCTTTCTTTCTCTTTACTTCTTTCATTTGTACTTCCAGAGATATAAAGTAAGGAGTGAAGAAAATTTATATGTGCAATTTCATAATTAGTGTCCTTCACCTCATATTGCTTAGATTAAACCAGAATGGTCAAACAGGCAGAACACTTTAAACACTGGTGAAAAATGAAACATTTATCAAATGTTTATTGGATGACCAAATCATGGGAGATTTAGGAGATTAGTGAAATCATGGGAGATTTAGGAGATTAGTACATGGAAAGGAAGAAAATATTAAACCGTTGAAGAAGGTTCTAATTGGGTTCAAATAGTCCAGAGCAGAATTCAGTGGTGAGTTTAATCATGCCCCTTAAGGATCCACAAGACAAGGAACTTCCTGAATACCCAGTAACTGTTCACTGTTCTATTAAGATCCTCTACTATGGAGTTATTAAAATTTGGGGATATAAGTCAAGTGTCTGGTCATCATAAATACATCACACAGATGGACAGCCCCAGGAGCCACTGACACAAGCCACTTGCCTAAATTATGGCATATTCAAAATTAACATCTTGACTGCCAAATTACACCACAGAACTAGCCAAGAGAAACAATTCTGCTTGTAGGTTTATGGGATTGATTTATGGGAAAATGAAACAAAGAAAGACAGAAAGAAAGGTAAATGCAGTTTCATAAAGCAATCAACACTTCCTCAAATGATTCTGACCACAGGTACAGGTGATGTGAAAGCCTATTCTTTAATCTAACATTGACACCTGATGTTATCTATTGAAAGAAATGCTGACCTGAGTGATTAATAGCAAGTCAATCGCTTCAATTCTTGCAGTTTCAAAGCAATTACACTGAGTTCATCTGATTGGCTTGTGGTTAATAATGTGACATGTCTAACTGTTGCTGGGCAATGGGAGGTGGAACGAGTTACCACAAAGACAGATGCTGGATAAATGGTTGGTTGCCAGGTTACGCAACAGTGGAAAAGTGGTTAAGCAATGGTAAGGAAAGCCGTGTTTGTTCATGCCATGCCAAGCCGAGCCAAGCCGAAGTACGCTGGTTGCTACACGGCAATAAACAACTTTCGGCAGCATTGTCCAGCAGCGCCTGTAAACACGGCGTTTATGCAACAGTGAAGCGAGGTGGGGTTTCCGCTGTCCGACTGAGGGTTTATAAGGGAGACTGGAATGCATAAGCGGAGAGCTAAAATGTAGCAGCCGCTGAAGACAGTTGAAGTCCATCAGTCACCAGGTTCAGCTGTGTTGAGTGAATTGTGAACGTGAAGACGTCATAAGTCAGTTGAAACATAGCAGCAGTCACGGGAAGAAGACTGGGACGTGTTTTATAATGAAGATAATGTGAAGAGATTTGTGAGTAGGGTTTGTAAAGTGTGTAAACCCATAACAGTGTTATAATTAATTGTAGTTATGATTTGTAGGTTGTTAAATAAACCAATTAACAATCTGAACGGCGTCTTCTGAGAAAAAACATGTTACAATATATATCTCACATATTATGTCCTTAGTAGTAACATTTTTCTTGTCCAAAAGAAATATATCCAAAGAACTCATCAAGTAACTCACCTCCTCCAATCACAAAGAAGCTAATGGTGACAAGTGTTATATATATCAGACACACCATGTCCAACCAGAAACCAAATGCTCGACTGGATGCAATGAATAGGTACCATGCCCCAGAATGCAAGTCCTGAAATATTTAACAGCAACTATAATTAATATATACTTCTAAAACTATCTTAAATTACCCTTAATTTACTCCTAAATATCACTGAGCTCAGAGAAATCACCCACTAATATAAAATATTTTTGTTTTAGGAAGTGACAGATATTAATATATCCACATTGTTTTAAAATTAAGATTCATCCAAGAGTAGAATCTAACAAATCAACTGCACCATCTCTAAGAGGAGGAGTGACAACTCAGTCAGTGACAGTCTTCAAGACAAGAAAACATGGTGTACATAGTTTCGTATTCACAGTATATTCTGTCCTGCCCTGCAGTAAGCACCCATGCATTTAATGAGATCCATTGTATTGCAATACAACGCACGTAGCCACAAGGGCAGGACACAACACAGGACACAATACACACAAGAATATAGGAAGAGTACTCCCATAGGAGAGGATTGACGTAATTCACAAAATTTGAAGTGTGACGTATAGATGATAAATCTTGAAAAGTTTTAATATATAAACTTTATAATTATACATCACACATATACATTTTAATAATTTTATAAAGGAGACAAGGAGACTTGGGCAATGATACTAAAAAGTTTAAATCAGAGTTAAAGCATTATCTACATGCTCATTCCTTCTACTCTTTGGATGAATACTTCAATGTAAATAGAGAATGATGTAAAATTAAGTTATATTAATTTTTAAGCTAAAATTGCCTGTACTTATGTATGTAACCTTTTGACATGTTCTGTATCCAAAGGTACTAACCTGCTTAGGATTTATAGAATGTAAATAAATTCAATTCAATTCAATTCAATTCAATGATGGCATACATTGCAATGGTTTGACGTAAATAAAACCACACCTGAAGATGGCACATTAGTGCCGAAACATGTAGTGAAGAGAAAGGTGAAATTGTGTGCACTGTAAGACAGTTGGTAAAAATACACATCATGGACGTGAATCAGTGCAACAGGATGCTAAAATATAACACAATGTATATTTCTTAGTAAACTAAGTTTTCAGTAGGTGCTTAAATGTTCTCTATCACTAGCCATTTTACCTGATGATTATCAAACTCCTTCTCGAGTACAGCTTGTGCTTTAAATGCTCTAATGGTTGTCAGACCCTGAAGAGAGGCATTGAGATGCTGAAACACGGGACTTCGGGCTGCAACACAGCAACAATTAAGTCATAAATCAACTGACCTAAATAAGATTTCAAGTACAGATTATAGAACTTTTACTTAGTGAAATGTGTGTCATAAATGGAACCTAACATCTAAAACTTACTCTTAATTGACATGACATTCATGACATCAACTGATATGACAACATGCTATGATACCACATCATATGACATGCGACATCACATTACCTCAAACCATATGGTGTCAACTGACATATCATATGATGGCACTGTATGTCATATAACATGATAAATACATATAGACTTCAATGACACAATAAACTGACTAACCTACAATAGTCAATCTGGTGGTACAATTCAAGCTACAACAGTCATTACACACAAAAGTTCTAGTTTGATCCGATCTAATAAGATCTAAAAGTTGGTGACAATGGTATATTGCTACAAGTATTATGATTTTGGACATTATCCATCGTCCTGTCACATTGTGTTTTAAATAAGAAACAGGACGTTTTTTTAGACAATAGACAGGATGATGGATAATGTCCAAAAACGTAATACTTGTAATTCAATCTACATCATCATAATACCCATTTCCTGAGCTTAGCCTGGAGGTGAACACTTCACTCTGCTATGGATGCATGCTCCAGGTGATGAAGTTATATTATGTATAAAATTCCATCATAAGTCAGTACACTGACACTTACTGAGTCCCTCAAGCCGTTTAACACTGCGGGATGTGGATAAATAGACAATGCGGAGCAGGTAGAAAGTAACACCCACAAAGAATGTGGGAATAAGCAGCCAGACATTCACAATGGCCACCACGACGATGATACCAAGAATTGCCAACCCAATCTGGAAAACGAGAATTAACTGATCTTGGAACAAGAGAATGACAAGGACAATAAGATCAGCAACAACAATAAAAATCTTCAAATTGTTAAAAAAAATGAGACCCATAATAGGAAGCTGAGGATATGAACTGAAAGTACAACTACATCTTAAGTATTTGACTTTATGCAAGTTTCAGCTTTAAAAACTTCAACAGAAATTTAACTGTCATAAATAAACAGAATTTAAGTAGAGGGATGACTTTCATTTCTCTGGCTTCCTGAAACATACTGTAACATGGTAACCAACCAATAAACACCTCGCGACTAAATACACACAAGGCAACAATAGAAGTACAGCATTCTTTATGCTGTCAGCACCATGACCGCTGCCATGCAACATCACAGTAAACACTCCTCTGCAACAATAGAGGCTGTTTTCTGTGTATGGTCAGTGCGGAGGCCATATAACAAGATTCAATACTGAACAGATTTCATGTTAGTGTGTGTTTAAGTGTTTGAGTGTTTAAGTGACAGTGAGAGAGTTTTACATGCAGTCCCATTCAAGTGAGTTCTCAGTGGAAGGTAGCCATGTAAAGTTCGTCAAGTGAAGACTTGTGTGTGGTTAGAAGACTTTATTCATGTGCAATATTTGGAGTGATTTGAAGCGCTTGTTCCTGTGTTTTAATTGCATTACAAGGAGAGGACTAATGTGTGTGTGTAACAGTGAGTTATGGAAGTGTGTAAATCAGCGATAGTGCTGTAATGTAAGAGTGATTAAGAAAGGTTGTAACCAAAGTGCCAATAAATCCAATCATCCGAACTAGAATTATTTCCTTTGAGAAGGTGAATAAACAATATTTAAGATTATGATCTTCTGGAATATGACACTGTGTACTCTGGGTAGACAGCAATATTACAGAGGAACCGCATGCTTCCATCTTCTGGGCCAGAAGATTGCAGGCCTAATAAGCACTGTTGTGAGAACCTGACACTGCACATATCTGGGAGTCATTATACATATAAGACAGATTCTTTTTTCTACATAAAAACTGTCAGACATGGATTCAAAGCTTTACTCCATTCCAACCTTTATAAGTGTTGATTTATAAATAATATACAGATTTTGTAGATGTGTTTATGATCTAGCTTCATACCAAGTCCACATGCCTTGCTCCAATGGTTCATCAGTTATCACCATAAAACTGAAAGCTAAATGTAGATTTCATGTAGCTGGTATTTTCTTATTTTATATTCCACATAAAACATACTTTAACAGAAGGTGCATATTTCTCACAGTTCAACTACCACATATTATTTCGCAAAACTAGCATTGATCCTACCTCAAAATTTTGTTTATCAACAATGTTATTACTGATTTCAGGAAATTAATGGTATAAAGTTGTGGTGGCTACTAATATCACAATATTTATAACAAATTTCTTGAAAATTGATCAACTAGCTACAAAGATGAAAGGGGGTATGCACACACATACCGACATTATAAAGATCTTATAACCCTAAATGATCCACAGCAGAGCAATACTGACAGATACCATAATGGATAATGTACAGTATATTCCAGATTCCAGGACACACATCAGCTGACAATTCACCACATTTCAGTAATTTTCATGGAGAGCTGCTGATCACACTGGATGGTAACTGGTGGCAAGGTATCACTACAGTGAACCTAACAGGTGAATCTTATACCTCAAGTAAGCACGATTTTAAGCCTCTCAAATTTGCTCACACTACATCCACACACTTAGAAGCTGATTACATACACCACATTCCACTTACCATGTTAATGTAACACCCACTGGGATGATGACAGCACACACACTGGGCTTTGAGCAATCTAAAGGACTGAACATGACAGTTGGTCATGTTGTTGAGAGACAAAGAGTTTGCAGGCAGAGGGCTGCATCTGACCTTCACATTCAAAGCAAACAAGTTTCTGTTTGTACCTTGGGACAGTTAGGACCTCTGTTGGTGCTATAGAAGTTAGTGATATGCTAGGACCTTGCAACTGGTGAAGATATTGAATGAAGGAGAAANTGATGTTTAATCTCATATATTTTTTTATAAAACTGACTTGTCCAATTGTACATAATGTAACAGTTATGGATGTTAAATCAATCAATCAATCAATCAATATTGAATGAAGGAGAATGAAAACTGTCAGTTGATGAGGTGCATAATATTGTGAATCAAGACAATGGTTAAATTTGATAGGCAATAAGACTACAGAGGTAAAAGACATGCTATAAATGAGTCTGTGGTTGTCTAGGCTGTGACATGGTGTAGTCTGGTAGATCTTTACAAACATTTCAGAGCAACATAATGCCTCCATCTTCAGGGTAAAAGTGAGTTTAGTAGGGACATTGACCAGTTATATAGAAGTTGGAGGAAAGAAACAAGCCATGGAGAGCAGGGGTGGGCATCTGAGTCTGGGATGAGGCCCCGGATGAGTCTTGTAAAGGGCAACTACACTCGGAGAGGATGGGAAGTGTAAAAAATACATCCACATGGGCTGTAAAGGAAGACAGAATTGGATGGAAGAGTGGTATGAACAGGAATCTCTGAGCCTAAAAGGGGAACTACCCCACATTGCACAGAATCACAACCAGAAAGATCACAGCCTTAATATTTACTTCCATGAGAACTCCTAATGTTATGGATGAGGAAAAAAGAGAAAGAATAATAAATGAAAATGATTCAGAGTTTCCCTTGCGTTTGGAACAACCCCCCAAACTATGAAGAAATTTTACACTGTGCAGAGTATCAGCTTCTGGGATGTGACACCATGCAGTCTGGTAGTTTACAGACTTTTCAGAGGAATATTTTACTGTAATTACAAGGGGTCAAGAATTAGTCATGCATGTGGTACATTCATCTGAAATACTGGTAAACATCTACCAGATTATAGGAATCACAACCCAGAATACAGTAATGTGAAATGTAAATCCACTGCTAGACAACGGGCCAGTAAACACATTCCCGCAATAATAGAAGGACATACATTGGTAAGTAACGGACCAGTAAACACAAATTCTTGACAACAGAAAACAGTGTTTTCCCTGGGGTCCATGAAAAGAGGTCATCTAAAGTATTCAGCAGGACAGTAGTAGTAACAGAAGCAGAGCAGATGGAATATAGAACAGTAGCTGAGTGTAGTTGAGTTGAGTCTTTGGAATTGACAGCTGCAGAAATGACAAGAAAGGAATTAGACTGCAACAAGAAGACTTCATATGCGAGTTGAAGAGACAACGAGATTGTAAAAATCTGTTGCCTGGATACAGTTAGTGAAGACCGAGAACCCTAGTGCGTGTGCAATGATGAACTGTAATATGAGTAGAATAATGATAGTGCTGTATTGCCTGTAGTTCCAAGTTGTGTGAATGTATAAGTGTCAATAAATCCAACCATCTGATCCAAAACTCCATCTACAGTCACTAATACATGTGACAGTACTGTTCAGTTACCACTGTGAGAACTTAAATCTCATATTTACAGTCTACTTCATTATCTCCATGCCTGGTTCCATTGGAACTCTGTGATCTGTTGTTCAATGTGGCACTTCACACTCTGGAGGGTAATGCAGTGTTACTTCTTACCTGCAAGCAGTCTATCATTGCAGATGGCAACAGCTCATCTATAGCACCCATGTCCTTTGAAAATCTGTTCAGTATTCGACCTGCAAAACAGCAAGTAAACAAAACTGTGTATCAGACTGTTTTTCAAAGTCTTCAGAAGTCATTAAGATTGTATTCAGTATACATAACTTAAAAATTTATATGTAGTTGTATGTAGTTTTTGCTGACGATAACAGATCAAAACCTGATTCAGGAGGAAATTAAGAGGTGACTGAACTCGGATAATGGTTGCTACCATTCTGTCCAGAACCTTTTGTCTTCTTGTCTGTTGTCCCAATACTATTCATAAACACAATCTGTATGTTCAATTTTGCAATACTGAGCGCTGCAAAAGAGGGGTGATTGGTATGGGAACCAAAATATTTAATGGCCTACCGACTGAACTAAAAAGTGTAAATAATTTTAATGTTTTTAAAAAGAAGCTAAAAAATTATTTGTTGTGTAACGTCTTTTATTCTCTTCAGGAATTTTTTAACAACTGTTGATATGGACTGCTTGCTGACAAATAAATCTGTTTTAGATAAATTATTTATATGTACAGGAATATGTTTTAAATAGTCTGTTTGTATGTTGTAAACAATCTGTATATATGTTTTAAATATTTTCTCTAGTCTTAGGTATTTATTATTTATTATTCTATATTCATGTACTTTGAATGTTATGCTTGATGTAATGTTGTTGTTATCTGACATGTCCAATTGTAATTTCTACAGCTATGGATGAAATAAATGAATTGAATTGAATTGAAAACATAAAAATTAGAATATACAAAACTATAATTTTGCCTGTGGTTCTGTACGGGTGTGAAACTTGGTCTCTGACACTAAGGAAGGAACACAGACTGAGGGCGTTTGAGAACAGGGTGCTGAGGAGAATATTTGGACCGAAGAGGGATGAAGTCACAGGAGGTTGGAGAAGACTGCATAATGAGGAGCTTCATAACTTGTACTCTTCTCCAAGTATAATTAGAATGATGAAGTCAAGGAGGATGAGGTGGGCAGGTCATGTAGCATGATGGGGGAGACAAGGAATGCATATAGGATATTGGTGGGAAAGCCAGAAGGAAAGAGACCACAGGGAAGACCGAGGCGTAGGTGAGTGGACAATATTAGAATGGATCTTAGAGAGATAGGATGGGATGGTATGGATTGGATAAATCTGGCTCAGGATAGGGACCAGTGGAGGGCTCTTATGTACATGGTGATGAACCTTCGGGTTCCATAAAATGCTGGGAAATTCTTCAGTAGCTGCAGAATTGGTGGCTCCTCCAGAAGGGCTCAGCTCCATGAGTAAGCAAGTTGTTGCTGTTGTTGTTAATCCCTGTATTTTAAATTAAACAATTACCAACAGTGATATTGTGACATATAGACCTGTTGGTAGACAAAGACCTCGAGACAAACAATGAGACAACAGCCATTGCTATGCAACAGGGTGATAAACGTGCCTCTACAACAATGAAGTTGGAAACTGTTTTCTATGTGATCTGTGCCAAGGAGTTATCTTGAAGATAATTGGGGTAACCCAGTTAGTTGTGAGTTGAGAGATGAATTCTGTATGGGAGGCTGTGAAGACAGGACCTGAGCTCATGAAGATGATGATCTCCAATGTTAGAAGCTGCTGCCAGGGAACAGCTGGTGAAGACACGGTAGGTTGGAAAGGCCTAGTGGGTGCTGTGGTAATTTGTAAAGTGTAGAGATTAGCAATAGTGCTGTAATTGCTTGTAGTTCCGATTGTTATGCATTAGTCTACAATTACAGCTACACATGACATTATTAACATTTAAATAGTAAGATGTAATTTTTTCAAATACATCAGCTAATAATTACCTTGTAAAATTCTGGTTTCATATGAAATTAAGCAACTATCCAGTATAAGGTACAGCTTCATAAGTTTGGAGAAGTACAAGTTAATAGTTAGACTCAATAACTTCTCAATGCACTTATGACATCATGCTACATAATATGTTAAAACTGTACTAAGATAAGTTACTTTTCCTGAACCAGGCCCTTTGAAAGGGGACATGCTAACAGCCAAGTCACTTTTTACCTTTCCAGTTCATAAGTAATGTCGCGTATCGGGCGTATATCGCGACAAATAACTTCACGCCGTATTTTGTATAGCGAATTTTATTTCACATTCGCACTTACAATCACCCAAATTACAGATTTACGGTTACTGCTATCTGCAGTATCACAATTAGTACACTCCAAACGCCAGAATACAACTGACTAGTTGCTGGCTAACTCGGCGGTAGCTCCAGGACTCACTGACTGACTCAGTACAACTAACTGTGAATAGCCTTCGCTGCTCCCTATGTAGCCTTGATCGGACAATTGTCGTCTGGTGCCGTGTTGCTAGTAACGCTAGCGGAAGTAACCGCTGTTACTACTTGGTGACGTCACCGCTGTTGACTCGCGTTGCCTAGCGACCAGGATCCTAGGACTCGGCTAACATCGGCTCGCTTCAGCTTCGCTCGGCGCATCACAGCTGGCGGGGGGTGGGGGAGGGCTCATAGCTCAGCATGTCACAGTAAAATCATCTGTCATATTACTGGTGTGTTTTAAACAAAATGTTACTGTTCTGTAATTTCAATATCACCAACCTTTTGCAGAACCTCAGATGTTACACACGTTCCAGTAAATATCATAAAATGTTTGCACATGCAAAGATTATATATAAATTAGTAAATATTCAATGGAACATTACTATGCTACAAGCTGGAACTATGCTACAAGTCAGAAAGTAATGGGTTCAATTCCCAATGAGGTCATTGGATTTTTCAATTAACTTAGTCCTTCCAGCCACATTAGGACCATGAGGTTGAATGAGCCTCTTTCAAAAATGAGTAACAGGAATCTTTCTGGGGGTAAAGGGTGGCTGGCATGTAAGGCTGACAACCTCACCACCATCTGTGAGCTGACTGTCTAGAAAAATGTGGCAGCCTCAACATCTCACAACCCCATGGGCCACCCTAGCATGTTATAGGCATAGTTCTACGTCTTTACTTCAGTGGGAAGTTCTGTCATTTTGTTATTAAAACCAGTATCTAATGAGTTCAAGTCCAGTCAGCTGCTCATGACATTTCAGTGCATGGGCAGGTTTAGTCACATAGAAAAATCACCCCTTTCACATCTTCATGCCTCACCCTCTTTCTTCCATTTCTTTATAACTTTCATACCTTTACTGGCTTCCCTCATCATCTTTCATTCCTTTACCATTCTTCTTATTTGTCTCTTGTGTCTTTTCCTTCCCATTCCTTCCTTCCTTCCTCTCCTTTACATTAACACAGTACCACACTACATACTAAGTTACTTCAACATTTTCCTCAAGGTCCACAGACTCTGTGGGTGTAAGGAAACATAACATGCACACACAAGCACACAAGCTTTTACACTTATAAAAGACATTAAAGTGTGTAAATACATTATCAAATACCATCTACTTAACGTTTGAAGCAACTACATCCTATGTATGTATAAGACATATATACAATGTGTCTACATTCATCCATCCAGGGTCACATATCAAAACAACAGCCATATTTGTAAGTCTGTCAGTACTTACCAGAGGGATTTGTGTTGAAGAAGTACATGGTGGCACGAGTAATGCTACGAAACATTGAATCATGGAGATGTATGGATGCACGCATACAAACACTGAAGAATGTGATGGATCGCATCAGTGTTACCAAAATGGTGCCCACAGTCACGGCAGTATAAATATAAATGCACATCTCTCTACTCAGTGTATCTGGCAAGGTGTTCTCCACTGAAGTGTCATTTGTTAAGGACTCATTTACACTGTAGCCATTTGCAAGTGAACCATTAACATTATCCCAGTCTCGCAGCCCAAACTGCATTTCCTCAATGTTTGTCCTGTGAACAACAAAATTGCACATACAAAGTTCCACATGCATAAGGAGTGTGTGCCAAATGGGAATTATATGCATTTGCACCAACTAGAAGCAATTTGTATATGGCAACCATGAAAATAAAGATTATTACAAGTATTTCAGGAATATTTCTATGTTTTTGTCTCTGCTGCCTCCAGTTAAGGTATTTTTTACCCTTTTGGTCTCTGAAAACTTGGCAAGAATGTAGGAATTCAATTTCTGAAATTACATTTTTATTCATGTCAGGAATGTGGACAGGAGAGCCAACAAATGTACTGTCTGCAGCTTATCATGACTGGGGCTGAGTGGACTGGCACCACAGTAGCACTCTAGACTCATATTCAGGAGGTGCTCCATTCGAATCTTGGTCAGGACACCAGCTATCCTGACTAAGAATTATGGTGGTTTCCTTATGTTCATTCAGGAAGATTCAAGGATATTATCTTAAAACAGGGTATGGCTGCTTCCTTCCAAATCCTCTCCATGTCATCATTCTTCTATAACCCTACCATCTGATGATATACAGTCGAGCTACTTAGAGCAGCATTAAATAACCCACATAAAAGAAAACCCAGCATAAATGAGACCTGGCATTCCTCACACTCACATCAGAAAATGTCCCTTGCCTAATATACCATGTCATGCAACATTGCATAACCAGCCACTGGTATGCTGAAATCACAACTGACATACATCTCTGTTATCAAGATCATTATCCTACTATTCTGTGCTATATACCAGTAATGTAACATATGAAAGGCACTGTTAAACAACCGCAGGTAAACAAATCTGTTACTAAGGTGACACTGACAACCAGTGAATGAGTTGCACCTGTCCACCATTCTTGGTAACTATATCCTAAGAGATAGTCTGTCACATCACACTTTTGTTCTACTTTATTTTTGTAATTGTAACATTAACCCAAAGTCATACCCGAATCTGGTATAGAGCCATGACACAAACATCATGCCACTGGATGCATTTTGGTAGCTCATGTATGCTGCAGGAAAAGTGGTAACAGCAAGTCTGAGATCTGAAATTTTCATGGCAGGAACTGGAATGTGATGTCAGGCTGTGTGGCAGAAATTTACTGATGTTTTGGGGAATGTTTGAAGAGTAAGCTGTGCAAATAAACTGTATTCACTGTGTTTTGCTTGCTTCTATGGCTTACCCCTTTACTCTGAAGTTGGACACAGTATTGTGACATGCAGACCCAATGCTAGAGGATGGGTCAGCAAACACATTTCCATGATGGATTCTTGGAAACCAACTCAATAGGGCAAACATGTTTCCATGGAGATTCTTGAAACAATCCATCACTGAGTGATGAACAGATGTTTCCTTTGATACGAGATGGAAAGATGTCTTCTCTGTTGGTCTGACCCAACTTTATATAACAGGAAACCCAGTCATGGGTACAGATCAAAACAGAGAGAATTAAGCCAGAGCAGATCAGCTCAGAAGAGAAGAGAATCAAGTCAGAATGGAGGCAAATCAGATCAGAGTGGAGCCAGTTGTAGATCAGAATTGAGTGAGCTCTATGCAGTCAAGGAAGAAGGGTTTAGCTTAAGATTTATTGTGAGTTATTGTAATTTATTATGATTACAAGTGATTGTACAAGGAGTGCTCAATAAACCCAATCATCCTATCCAAACCCCATTATTATAAGTCATGCCCCATAAATGTGTGACAGTATGTTCCTCTGAAAGAGAGGTAGTCAGCCAAAAAGGAAGGACACATCACAGACACAGTACACACAGAAACGACTCCCATAGTGGATGAACCATACTATACGCAAGTTTGAAATTAGACATATAGATGAATAATTTTAAAAGTTTTAGTATATACAAATTTTATTATAGTTGATGAATAATGAATTTTCTAAATAGTTTTATGAGAGACACAAGATGGCAAACAATGTAATAGTTTAGCGTAAATAACGAACCTGAAGATGGCACTATGTTGCCGAAACATGTAGTAAGAAGTGACATATGAAATTGAGTGCACTACAAGATGGCCATTACATACGTATCATGGATGAATAAAAGTCTATTCTGACTTCACTCTTCCAGTTTTTGGGTGTCATATCACAACATAAGGCAATGGACACAGCAAGCGTTCACTGCTTAACTGCTTAGACGACAATACAATCTGGTAGGTAGGTGCAAATGTTTTAGAGGAAAGTACTGCTTTCACCTTCAGGGTAGAAATCAAAATGGAGGCAGAATATTCCTCTCAACTATTGGTGCACACAGGAACATAAAGCTGCAGATCACAATACAGATTAAAATGAAACAGACACAACAGTTTTCAATGTGGACCCAGTAAATGTTCATAAAATAGTCTGAGACACAGACAGACAGATGAAAAGACATCTTCTCTGCATTATGGACTCAATGTATGCAATGAAAGCATGAAATCCAGAGAATTAGAAAGAATGCTGAATTTGCAACTTGTTGAAAATGACAATTGTAAAATGTATAAATGGTAAGTTATCTTGAAGAAAGTTGTCTTCTGGGTTTAGGCACCGTGTATTCTTCGTTTTGGCCGACGTTTCGGAGGAACGTAGCGCCTCCATCTTCAGAGCAGTTTAATAGCTGCGGAGAGCAGTAGCTGTGGTAAGTTATCTTGTTTACTCACCCCTCCAAAATCATTCAGTTTAATTACAAACTCCAGTGAAGCCTGAAATTCATTCAAACAACATTCACCTACCTCACAGAAAGCATGATATCACTCTATTACAATGACCAACCAGCATATGCTCTTTCAGGAAATAATCACTGTTTACTGTGAGAAGACAGAAATGAGTTCTTTCATACTTCCTTTTGTTGGTTATTTGACAATGAGGTCAGTGGTAAGATGACTCATTTTATGACTCAGGGTGAATGATGAATTGGAGATGACTGTAAGGTAGCCATGGCTTAATGCATATATATGGAAAAATAAAGAATGGAATGGAATGGAATGGAATCCAAGGAAAATCCCAGTATTCTTCCNATCCAGTCCGGTATCCGGACAAAGGATCTGTGAAACCATGTAGCTATGTATGTATGTATGTATGTATGTATGTGGTCAGGCTACACAGTATCAGATGATGGGTGAATGATGAATTGGAGATGACTGTAAGGAAGCCATGGCTTAATGGATATATATGGAAAAATAAAGAATGGAATGGAATGGAATCCAAGGAAAATCCCAGTATTCTTCTGGAGAGTCCAAGGAAAATTATGAAAAACATCAGTCAGGATAGTTGGTGTTCTAGCCAAAATTCAAACTGAGCACCTCCCAAATAAAAGTCAAAAGCATTACCAATACACCAACCCATTCAATTCTTTTAATGTTAAATGGGTGGTACTTAAAGTAAAGGGAGCACACGGTAGTATAGTTGGTAGAGGCACTATGCTACAAGCCGGAAGATCACGGATTCAATTCATGATGAGTCCATTGGATTTTTCAGTTGACCTAATCCTTCCAGTTGCATTATGACCCTGCGGATGAGTCAACTTCCAACAGAAATGAGTACCAGGAATCTTCTTGGGGGTTAAGGGAGGTCAGAGTGTAAGGCTGATAACCTCACCACCATCTGTGAGCCAATTGTCTAGAAAATGTGGGAGCCTCAATGTCTCACAACTGCATGTGCCTCCATGGGCTGTTAAATGGATAGCTTTAACTTTTTTTACATATATTAACTAACGTTGTTTAAATGACATTATCATCACTGTTCACCTTATTTAATTTTTTATGTGATCTGTTGGTTTAATGATATTATACCTGAAGCACACTACACTGGAAATAGAACTGTACTGACATCAATTATACTTACCAGTAGGTGATCCAGTAATCACAGCCACTAGCCAGGGCCTGTGTCAAGATAAACAGTAACACAGTAGTTAAGATGATGCACCAATTGCCACCTGAACGTAGATATGTGCCATACACCTTGGAGGTTACAGATCCAACCGTTCGCATCTCCGCCACCTCCTTTGGTTCTGTCACTTCCACAGAGTTCACACTCTGCAATCCAGGACAGAAACAATATTAAGAGTTAGTTATTTCATGTGTGTTCAGAAGTTGGCAAATTTATTTATTTGGGAAGTGAAAAAAAACTCAGAGGGAAAATTGGCAGACAGAACAACAGGAAAATACAAGAGAGTTCTAAATGTTACATTATTAAATTAAAACAAACACAAAACTGCAAGTAACATCAGATATGCAAAGACAGAATATACATAAATATGTACATTAAACTCTAATATAGCCCAACACATATTACAGAGAAACCAAACACGTGCATGTCAATGGCACAATAACCCATATAACCTCGAGGCATAACCTCTAACAAAAAAGGAAAAGCAGAACAACACTAGAGTAGGGCAGCAGTTTGCTTCATCAGGATAATTTGTACATCTGATGATGGCCAGTTACACCAAAACATGTAGTGACAATAAAGAGAAGATGATGAGAGAATATTAATCAACATTGCACATAGATGGCAAGAAGTGGAACATAAAGTCAGATCTACACAATGCAACAGGATGGTGCGCTATAATACTATAAAACAAACATTATGGAACAAAGATATCCACAAACAATGTAATGTGAAGTATATTTTAAATTCATATTAACATATGATGCCAAAACATGGACCCTTAAAAAAGAAACCAAAGGAAAATTTAAGCAATCGATATAAAATTTTATATAAATAATGATGAAAAAACATGGAGGGCTAGACTTAGAAATGAAATTATCAGAAAAGGAGTTTGAGTACAAAATTTGTAGGCAGAGTTAAAAGAGAAATGATTATCATGGTCTGGCAATGCAAAAAGAATGGATAGAACACGGATACCAAGAAGGGCATTAGAATTAAAATTTAATGGAAAGAGACCTATGGGATAACTTGATTTAGCTATGTAATGGAAGAAATAAGGATGAGAGAAAAGATTTCACAAGAAGTATAAAAAAATGTTTGTGGTATGAAAGAAGATATGAGAGAATTTTGTCCACTGACCTGCATAAATTGAGAACAATGTTAAGAGAAAAATAGCATTCAATTAACAAATACTATATTTTTGAAATTGATAAAAACTGCAATCTACTTCAGCAGGTGAAAAAAAATGTTAACTATAATGAAAACATGCCAAAGCATATATATTGTAGCATGTAGAACTCTTGCTACGTAAGGACTCTGAAAACGATACCTGCTGCTAGGCAACAGATTCCTAACATGCAACAGAAGAATAGTGTTTTCTGTGTGGTCAGTGCCTAGATGTTATAAGCAGGACAATTAATGAGAGTTATTATTGTAGTACAGTGCAGGGGAGTGAGTGAGTGAATGAATGAGTGAGAGAGAGTGTGTGTGGGTGTGTGGGGGCGTGAGTGGGTGAGTGGGTGTGAGAGTGAGTGAGTGGGTGTGAGAGTGAGTGAGTGGGTGTGAGAGTGAGTGAGTGGGTGTGAGAGTGAGTGAGTGAGTGAGTGAGTGAGTGAGTGAGTGAGTGAGTGAGTGAGTGAGTGAGTGAGTGAGTGAGTGAGTGAGTGAGTGAGTGAGTGAGTGAGTGAGTGAGTGAGTGAGTGAGTGAGTGAGTGAGTGAGTGAGTGAGTGAGTGAGTGAGTGAGTGAGTGAGACATTTTTATAGAACATTTATCATTTTTAATCATGTTTGCAAACATGCTGAGCACTTGTTAAATTCGTTCAAGCCATCTGTTCATAGACATTACCAATTAGGGAGTTTCTGGAAAAATTTTCATGAAGTGTGATACTGGAAAATTACACATATATGTGACAACATATGCAAACTGCCACTTTCAATTTTTGTGTAGATCAGACAATTTTTAAACCACCAGTTCTCATGCATTTCTACACATAATTCAAGCATAACTCAATATTCTTTTATCACAGAGAAAAACTATTTTAATAAACTCTGCATGGAACAATTAAACACATGTTTTATGTCCGCTACACTTTCTCCATAAAGCTTTATGGCTTTCAAGGTAACTAAACAAAATGGATGTCATGAGTAAAGTAAAAAAGTAAAGCTATCCCTGTAACAGGCCATGAAGGCCCATAGGGTTGTGAGACGTTGAGGGTCCCACATTATCTGGATAATCGGCTCAAAGATGGCAGTAAGGTTGCCAGCCTTACGTGATGGCCGAGCATTACTCCCTAGGAAAATTATTTAATTGATTCCTGGTACTCATTTCTGTTAAGAGGCTCAGTCGACCCCAGGGCCATAGTACGGCTGGAAGGATTAGGTCAATTGAAAAAAATCCAATGACCTCATCGGGACTTGAACCTGCGACCTTCTGGCTTGTAGCATAGTGCCTCAACCAACTATGCTACCACGTGCCCCAAGGTTGTCATGAGTACATCTCCAAACTTGCATATTCAACAGTCAACTACAGCCTCATGAACACAACTGCAACCAGGAAAGATTAAAGTCTTTATAGAGTTCACACTGCATCAAAAACCATATTTGATTTATCCTTTTAACAAAGTGCTCCATTACTATGAGTTCTTCAAAACATAATACATTTAATTCTAATGTATTCATGTATTCTCTAATTCAGAGAATGTAGTAAGAGTGAATACTGAAGCCTTAATATTCTTTGTTTATTCATTCAGTATGCAGTTCTGACTTCTTGCCAATCTGAGCCACAGTCATAACCAAAAATGGAATAGTTGCATGTGAATATAATATTTATGTTATAAGGCAAGAATTCATCACAGTCTCATTTACATCCTTTAAAATTCCTTCTGCTGATCATGCCTGTTAAGTGTATACTGCACACTTTTATAATCTTGTTTCAAGTAATGATGGGATAATTCTCTCTCATGCAATAATGTTTCAAAATTTTCACTTCATATAGTAGGGATGGAAACACCCGATGACTTGAACTAACACATATATCTGTACTCTTTACAAAATATATATATATATATATGCATATACATGACAATATCTCTAATAACTGCTTTTAAATTTATGGAACATTTCTTCCCATTTAAAAAAATTTACATAACAATAAGCTAGTGTGTACATATCAATGAAGAGCGTATATACATTGTGCACTCCCATTGTAACATAAAGACAACTAACTCTATGACATAGTATGTATCAATGTGAGCTTATTATGTTGCTATATAAGCCTCGACATAGCTCAGGCGGTTAGTTGCTAGCTTCCCACTGCGGCGGCCCGGGTTCTAGTCCAGGTTTGGTCATGTAGGATTTGTGGTGGGCAAAGTGGCACTGGTACACGTTTTCTCCTAGTACTTCAGTTTCTCTTGCCAATCTTCATTCCACCCTTTGCTCCACAATCACCATCATCTATCATCTGAGGCTGGTACAATAGGCCAGCAATGGCAGAAGCACCAATAAACTCAGTCTCACTCCACTATGAATAATATAAAAATAATGTTCCTATATAAGGCTAGTAATTATGTAACTTACCAAGCACGTATATAACTCTTACTATCTCTCTATGTATGTAGAAGGGGTCAGTCGTCATCTATTTCATGTTGGTATCCCAGGATTCTCTTCGAGAGACTTATGGAAACCATATGACACCAGAGACAGATAGTAGCTAGTAACACTTCCTAACTTTGAACAAGGTCCCGCCTGAATACAAGCCTATCTGCTGAAGGAGGTTCCTCTGAACGCAAGTCTAGAATGTTGCCCGCTCGGCTAGGGCGTGCTGTGCTATTGTGATCGCGTGTGGGGTGCTGGAACAGCTCTGCAGCACTCTCATCGCAAATTTCAATGACAATGAGCAGGCTGATGAGGGGGCGGGGCAGGATGCTGCAGCAGGGAAGATCATACATCATGCCCTGGAATGTTTCCATGACAACCACTCACGAGTTTGCGCGACTTGGAATTTGAACAATTACATGGGCTCACTCACTTGATTCATGAGGTAACGCTTCATATTCAATAGCCTTGCTGGTCAAGAATCAGCGTTCCCATTATCATAGTTATGAGAAGTTTGTTAGTGTACTTACTGAAATAGATGTTTGCCGAAATATCTTTTGCTCTTCAAGAGTTTCTTCTTCCAAATCATCGTTCAGAAGTTTTACAAAGTCGAGGCCTGTGGCCTTCAGCTCACTATATGTCCCCTGAGCAGCTACTGAGCCCTGTGAATATACCAGCAAACTTCATATCTGCATTGAATCTGAGCAAACTGAAAACAAATATTGATCCATTTTGATTATATATTGTCATTTTCTTGGTTATGTTATTAAGCAGTCTGATAGGCTGGTACCAGCTTTTAAGAGGCAGTGTGCTCCTCTGAAATGTTGGCACTCACCCACCAGACTACATGTTATCGTAACTGAGACAACTATAATACCACTCTTCAAACCTTAATCATGAACTAAATTTCACATTCCAACCAAATTTTAACTAAGTACTATTACTACAACATTTTTAACCACAGTGCATTCTGCTTGCTTGTTTACTTGCTGAGTTTGCTCTTTGACTCTCAAGATGGAGGCAGTTATGTCCCTCCTTCCAAAATATCAGTAAACTTTTACCCAGTTACAGGTTTCGTGGAAGACAGACATGCTGTGAGAATCTAAAAATTCGCACATCCCACCTCTGTTCTAAGAAATCCTGTGCTGATTACTGATATCATGCAAAATCCTGAGATAAAGTCTCAGTGAACAGGTTTGGGTTGTGATGTCACACCTGTATTTTTCTAATATCCCAGAGGTACCTGGTTCTTGAACAGAACATTATATACTGTCTTTGTATGCAAATGCAAGACTAATGCACTCAAGTAACCCACCAATGCTTCCTGTCTATTCACCACCCATAATCACTTCACTAAATAAACTAAATCTGACACTATCTGTATACTTGACACAGTAACATTAAATAAAAAATTACTGAATTAGGATCAACATGATCAGCTACTTGAATTTAACCATTTAATCCACTCATGTTGTAATAATAGCTACACTACTCAGCTATCACTAAGAATTTTTATTTGGGCTTTAGTGTAAATTTTATTCAGATATCAGTAAGATTGACTGATGGATTATTGGTTGGATTTATGTGTACATGATAAATGGATTTGAACCATTCAGGTTTCTGATGTGGCTACATCCGCTAAAGTTTATTGCAGGAACGATATGAAGAGACTGTGTACAAATTCCTATCCTGTACAGCAATGGTTTGAGCTGACAAATGCCTTACATTATCAAGTACAAGAATGAGGTCAGCTTGCTTCAGATGGTGGAGCTGATGCGTAGCTAGGATCACCGTCTTGCCTTTGAGAAAACCAGCAATGCAGTCCTCAAACAGATGCTTGCCTACATGAGGGTCCACTGCAGACAGAGGGTCATCAAGCAGATACACATCAGCATCCTTGTATATAGCCCTGTGTACACCAACATAACACCACAATTTCAACTCTACTCAACTTCACACATGGATTAGGGAAAGAATGAATACAGCTGGTTCAGCTGGCTGTGAGCTACAACATCCTACCTATTCACTTCTGTTCCATCAACAGACAATGCTCACCTCCCAGCCTATTGGAGAGGAAGCCAATTACTTCATGACTGTTCATTGTTGAAGTCATTACTACTATTAATTTCAACATAATATTTTACATTTCTATTATATATCATTTATTACTTAAGTAAAATGAAATTAAGTAATTTGTAGAAATGAGGTCTCATAGTCAAATTTTGAGATATGCCCCCTTTCCAAAAAATAATGGTATAAAATGTAAAAACACTACTACAGTAAGGACCAAGCCTAAGTGACCCACACTTTAATGGTCCTTCTGTGGGGCTTTTCTTTACTGGACCTGATGCCCTACCCAGGGAACTCTGAATGGACTTTCCAAATTGAGAACAGGCAATGTTTCAACCATGAGTCATGCTTTCATAACAATGGCTCACTTTGCACCCACAGTGTTGCATGAGATAGGTCTACTGACTGAAAGTTGTTTCTACACTGAATGGACAAGATTTAAGGATGGTTAGGTATAAAATGAAAAAAACAAAGTTTCTAAAAAAACTTCCTCTCACAAAAAAGTCCTACAAGCATCAGCTGGAGGCTACACAATCATATAAAAACTGTGTTCTGAGACTGTTTAACAAGTGGCATAAAACAGGTACATTCTTGATAGCAAGTGAAGATGCTTAAGTGTGCCCTCACAGAACAGAAAATGGAAAAGAGTTCAAGAAAATGATCAGTAAGGAGCAAGAATGTGGCATATCGAAAAGTTCTGCTTTAAGAGGTCTCAGAGCTCTTAGATTTCACACTTATGAGGTGTGTCACTGGTCTAGAAGTTGAATCCTGCAGTTCCAGTTATACACATATATGTTTTTTGTTGGAAATTAGAATGTGTCCACGATGGTATTGTCAATCCAACTCTTCTTTTAATGAGCAACAAAACATGGCTTCATCTTAGGGGTTTCATAAATTCCCAGAACACCCATCAATGGGACACCGAAAATCCCCACATAATGCATGATGTCCCCATTCCTGACCACAGAGTGGGTGTGTGGTCTGCAGTTAGCGGTCAAAGAATAACTGGGCCTGTAAATTTTACACTGTGAACTCTGAGCGTTATGTGAAAAATATTCATACGTGCAGTAGGATAAAGCAACAGCCCACACATCACAATACCCTATGGATGCTCTTCATGAAGTGTTTGTATTATGGCCACCTCATTTGCCAGATTTGAGTGTGTGTGATTTTTACATGCAGGGAAACTTGAAGCAAAAGGTGTACAGTAACAATCCACATACCTTAATGGCCTTGAAGATTAATATTAGCAGTGTAATACATAATATTACATATGGTGAGCTGCAGAATTCTAATAAAATCCCTTACGTGAGTATCAGATGTGTTTTGATGCAGCTGGACACCATTTTCGGCATTTTTGAAATACAGGTGAGACAGAACCTTGCCGTAACTTTAAACAAGAAGTTGCATCCTGGCTGGAAACGTTCACATAATACTCCGCAAGCATCTGCTCTGGCCAGGAGAACCGCATTTCAAGTCTCATTGAAGTGCAGGTCCCTTACATTTGGCTCTCTCTGTACTAATATGTTGAAAACTACACGAGATCTGAGGTTCTCCCAACAGCAGTTATGAAGAGTTCCTTCTGGGATATAACGCCATGTCGTCCATTGAAAGTCAACTTGGATTTCGCAGAGATATGTTACCTCCAACTTAAGTTTTGAAGAATAAGCAAAGCAAGAAACCAACATGAAAGCAGATGGTTCTGCTCATTACTTGCTTACATACTCTGAAGATGGAAGCAAGTTCCTCTGAAACATACCTTGACTTTCAATAGACTACATGGCTTTATATCCCATATAATAGAACTTTATATGAAATTTATTCTGAAAAATGTTAAAAGTAAAGCAAAAACCTGCCACAAAACAGAAAACACAAAGACAGAGACCCTGTAGATGAACAAAAACCCAGAATGCAAGTAACAACTGGAGTTGGGGGAAGACACACAAGAGGGGAGGCTGCTGGAAGCAGATGGGTGGGGAGAATCTGGATCCATTCTTTCGTTACCTGACTTCAGCTACTTTTTATTGGATGTAACTGCCTACTGAAGTAGAAAGACAAATGACAGACCAAGGGTGTGAACTGTGTTGGTTGATAAGATTTAAAGTTTGTGATGATGGTACATTAGTACAAATATTATGTTTCTGGACATTATACAGCATCTTGCCTTCATCCAAAAACACCGTCCTGTTTATTTTTCAAAACACAAAGTTTTGGAGACTGAATTCTGTTTTCAGGTAAAACCTACTCAGTTGGGTCCAATCGATAGAGCTAGCCAGGACAGTGTTCTTAGACAAAGACAAGACAATGGATAATGGTGCTGGTTGATGCATAAATGAGCAATACAGCTTACAGTCTCCTAGCGTTGCAGTAATAGCAATTACACCTCACAACACAAAAGATGGCATGCATTCAGAAATATCATTCTGTTCTTTTGGACTGAGTCACAAACATGGATGAGTCCACTTGTCTGAATGATGTGCAAAAAGGTGAAGAGGGTCATCCTGCTACTTGTATTTGTGAGAAATAATTTGCTAATGGTGAGAGGTACCTCAACCACACTGCAGCTTCCCCATAGCTTATCCTTTCAGGCATTACTCTATGCCATCATTTGTTGGGCAATGTCAGTTTCTTAATGGCAGAACAACTGAAGATTATCAGAAGGATTGAGGCCAGAATTGAGTATCCATGTGTTCTTAACCTTAGAACTAGGTGGAGATGAGTGGCCAGTTTCATACTATGATACTATGAACAATTTTGAGGAAAACTGTGCAAATAACACAGTAACATTATAATACCAAATTATGTGGCACAAGAAAAAGATATGTACAGTTGCATAAGATTTTAAACAAACTGGCAGAAAAAAACGCCTGAGTACTCCAAGATTTATTCTTATTACTGTTTAAATACAACATTTTATTTCTCTTTAACACAAACTATAGTATACTCCCAATTACTCTTCCTAAAGAACGAGAAGACACATGAATTATAAAAAACATTCATAATCCAAGATATTTTACAAAAATTCAGGAATGTATACATAACATTTGATCTGTTCAACTGCTTCTAAAGCTGTAAAACTTGCAGAAAAATTATAACGAACATTAAATAATTTTATTTAATTTTTATTCCAAAAATGTTATTTTTCTCCATAAGTTTTGTTCAAAATAATTTTTGTCTAATAAATATTTGGTCAGCTATGCTCAATGTATGGAGAGAAATAAATGTAGGCCTTCATATGAAGTTGTCACTGGAACTGCATATTCTAAATGAAAACAAACAGCTTGACAATTTTTCATACGATTCTCTGATATGAGATTTCATGAAAATCCATTCAACAGTTCTCAAGTTGCTTCATGCATACGAAAGACAGATAGACACACACTAAGCAAACTTAATTGGCACTGTGCAGGATTATGTATGCACTTATACAGGTGAACATATAAGCAGCAATATGGATAACCTGCACATGAATAATTTGGAACATACTGTATGTACATAATAAAAATTAACTGTCTAAAAAAGAAGTGTCACACTATGAAATGGATGGCCAGGTTCTGATTACTATCAGTCATTATTGCATTTCTCTTTGTCACCATGTCCAGAAATATTATGTGGCCCATTCAGTTTCACACTGAATGAATATGAACAGCATTTTCCATATGAATGGGGGCAACAGGAGCATGAAGTTGACTGCTAAATGAGGTTAAGAATGCATGGTGCTCTACCTATAGGTCACTCTTACACTTCAGCAGTATCACATTTACCACTACAAATACTCAAGATCTCATGGCAGAATTTGAAATGAACATACCTGGCAAGATTGGCACGAGCCCTCTGTCCCCCACTGAGGGAAACACCTCGCTCTCCCACTATTGTCTTGTCAGCGTAAGGCAGTAGCATGAAATCACGCTTCAATGCACAGACATGTACTACGTGAGTATAGCGTTCTCGTACAAAAGGCTGGCCAAACAGAATGTTCTGACGCAAAGATCCAGCAAACATCCACGGTTCCTGTGATGCGTAGGATAGGGTGCCACCAACTTCAATTGTTCCTTCAATCAGAGGTAGTTCTCTCAGAATTGCCTGCAGCAAGGAAGTCTGAAAAGGAAGAACTACATCCATTAACATGCATTTAAACTGGAACAAGAACTTATTTCCTGTCAAAATTCAAAACACGGTGTACTAACTTGCAATAACCCATTATTAAGAGTACTAGCTTATGGGATGTTATGCCATGCAGACTGGTAGAAGTTTTTCAATGTTTTGGAGGAACATACTGTCTCCATTTCCAGGGTTGAAGATTAAGACAAGCATGCAAGTTAGCTGCTTGCTTGCTTGCTCCACTTTTTCTTCAACTGTGAATAATAAGGCAGTATAACCTTCTGAAACATCAATAAACATCTACTAGGCTACTTATTCTATGCACTGCTTGCATGCTTGGCTTCCTCTTCAACCCTGAAGATTGAGGAAGTGCACTCCTCTGGAATACTGGTAGGTTTCTAAAAGACTATGTGGCATCACATCACAGTCACTTCACAAGACCCATAACTTCATAAATCCATTATTAGGTCATATTTTCATTCTAACTACAAAGATATTTGCACATGACACAAACATTTCTGAAATACTGTTCTTTAGTGCAAAACAGTAATTTGTTATATCGTGAATGTGGTAGATAACAGTTGAGAGAGGAAGTGTAATCTCTTTAAATCTCTGGATGCCTTATGAAATCTGAGTGCTTATTTTTACAGCTCAAAAAGCTGAGGACTGCAGGATACATCCTTTCAGTCTGCAGAAGGAAGTTATAAGAGAACTACAAATTCCACAAATAACAGAATTTATAAAAAAAAAATACAGAAGAACTTTAAAAGTGCAAGTTGATAGGATAAGCTCTAACAGAATTGTGTTCTAATATATGTTCTAAAATATCAATTACAATGAAAAAGAAGTCTAGGAAGACATCTGAAACAACTGACAGATTCCATTTTGTGATATCCACAACAGCTCTTATTAGGCCTGATACTGGAAAGGTTGACAAGGATCATGAGAAGCAAATATACTTGTTACTTAAAATATCTACTCTATCTTAAATCATAATACAGTTATTTGTTCCCAAATGTTCAAATCCTGAAAGGAAAGAGAATAGGGATAGCAGCTGTAAGAGGCAGTTCAGATTGAAAAATACACATGCACTGAAATCTACAAGAATGTGTTTTATAAGATGTTAAAAAGCTAGAATCTGCAATATATAAATACTGCACATATTTATATTACTTTACACTAAACCTTAGTTTCTGACACATTTCTTAAATGGATAGAAATTTGTCAAAGTAGCTTGTACCTAAATTTACAGTAATTTATAGAAACTTCAGCCCAAATTTACAGAAACTTTGTACAGTAACTCTGGTCAAAATTTTCAGTAAATTTTCACCTAGATCTCATAACACAGAGTAGCATTTCACATAAAGTTCTCAGTACATGTTTGCATGTACTATAGTAAATACTGAGTACATTCTTTAAGTGATAGTCTTTAAGTCATACGTGTCCCCTGGGTAGTGCAAAATGAGCAACAAACCTGGCAAAGGTTCCCAAAAGAAAAGTGCAAACTTCTTAAAGATGCAACAAAGCAAGAACTTGAGTGCTCCCTATTGGGAAGCAAGAGGCAAAATGGGTTAAATGATCCCAAATGCAGCCATGGGAAACCAAGCAACCAATATTAGAGTCGCTCACTCGCTCACACTCTCACTCGCTCTCACACTCGCGCTCTCGCGCTCTCGCGCTCTCACACACTCACACTCACTCACACTCACTCACAC